TTGGCACATTATATTTCGTATGAATTTAATTCGAAAAAAAAAATCACAATAATATCAAAATAAGCATTTTGCATAATACTAAAACTAAGAACTTTGTATAATACTGAATTTTCTGCATTTTTAATAAATCTGAATATTAGTTGGATCTACTACTTTACCAGCTACAAGACAAATATGTAACTCTGAATCCATAATATAAAATAAAAATGGTCTATTAGCAATAAAGTCTTCAGTTGTGTACCAGTCATTCCCGAGATCTGAAAATAATAATAATTATTATTATACATAATTAATTATTATGAAAAAATATATATTGTGTAATTAATTATCAATATGTCAATAGATCGTATTTATATCATTTTAATAAAAAATATTTAATGTTCTTAGTATTGCATTAGATGACGTTAGTTTACGTGTGTTATATAAAAATTATCATTAAGAGGTTCTAAAATATTTATTACGTCATCTGTAATGACGATCCAACAATCTGCACAAAAATTCTCAATGTAATTAGTACCTTAGACAAAAAATAAACCGACGATTAACACCTGTAAACATATTTTTATTCGGCATATTTATGGTCTGTGAGGTAGTTTAAAATACCAAATATTAGAATATTTAGAATGTAAACACAAAAAGGTATGTAAATGTGAGGATACTATTTTAATATACGAATGGATTAAACATTAAAACAACCAAATTAATTTATAATTTATAAAAAAGCTTTCTGTTTGTGAAAAACATTGAGTAAGTGTTTTATAATCAGATTGAGCAATTTATATTTAAAACACTAACATGGTGAAGCAGGATAGTGTTTTATTGATGTTTAAAAATATTATTATTAATTGGGGCAATTGATATTTGTGGCAGCAAGTGTATAAATATTTGATTGTTAATTTAGTTGCATAAAATTTCATTATTTTTCAAATGGGCTTGCCCGTAGGTAAGCGGTTGAGAGCGACAGGACCTATTTCAGAGGTCCCGGGTTCGATACCCACTTCGAGCAGCCTGTTGTCAGGCAACAGGAACAACGATTTTCACTTGGAAATATAGATATCAATATTTCCAAGTGAAAATAGCCCTCACCCGGCATTGTTGCACCAATAAAAATGTCAGCCCTATTAGATAATTCTAATAACAAAAAATCATCAAATATGGATGGATTAACCATTGGGTTACCAAACTAAAAAATACGAAGGAGAAGTTTCAGACCAACAGCTCATAGGACGTAAGGTTCTGATTGCTGTTCAAAAATTAAAAAAGAAAAAAAAATTTCAAATATCTGTCCAAATTTCGTTTTCGGTTAACATTATTGAGACTTTTTATACTTGTTTACTTATTACAAGGATAACTATATAATTCCGTATTTCGCAACTATACAATATTTTGAAATATTGTTAAAGATATGTTGCCTCTTCAAAAGGTTATTTTTTTTTTCAAATATGTATTGGTAGGCGAAAAATTAATGAGTGTAATAATACACGTGATCAATTCTTAAGATGTTTTGACCCCTCATCTCCCTTTTTTGACCCGAGGTTTTATTTAAAATAACCTCCTTCTCCAACATTACGTATATTTTTAGTACCTAATAAAAACATAAAAAAAATTGAAAAAATAGATTTTTTAATTGAAAGGTAAAAATTAATTACACGTGATATTCTACTGGCCCTCTACCACGTGATTTTTGTTATTTTTTGGCAAAGACCTTCCTTCCCTTTTAAGCCTCGTGTGATAAACGGACGCCCTCTAACCATGAAAAGTTTTGTGTGCCATCAGGCATTTTTATTTTATTTGTTAATTTTTTTTTAAATATATATCTTGGCTGGTGATGCAAATGCACATCTGAAATCTCAAATGTAATTGACGATTGATTAAACATGAAAAGTTTTGTGTGCCATTAGGTTCCGGATGACACTGTCGATTGTTTATTGGCCTCGTACGCGCCATTGCGTGACTGCTTGACTTCTGACAATGATCATTTGTTTTAGAACCATCAAAGATCAAAGCGATGACTTCCGGATGAGGCTGATTAACGATTACCTATTTCAGCGCTCTTGACAGGGAGGATCGCATATTCTGAATAGAAATCATTAAAACAAACGACAAACACTTGGTAATATTTCCATACCAAACAAAATTCAATCACATTCAAGACCCTAGACAATATTAGAATACCCTGTGCTCAAGACATCTAAGGGATCACTTCATGGATTTCTCACTTCCACCAGGTATAAGAAAAATATAATTTTCAAGTTTCAAAAGCAAATAAATAAAGTTGAAAAATTGAAATAAAAATAGATGCTTCGATTATTCAACAGATAAGTTTCCTATTTTTTCTCAAACGGTCTTTGGCTAAAATTTGAAATTTAAAACAAAGGCACATCTAGCTGTCTGTCTTAACTGATTCCTAAAAAATATATATAACTTGTACAATTTAATATATTGTTTTTGTTTTCGCCAAAAAATTAGACCTTCTTATTTTATTTGTCTGCATGTTTCAAGTCACTCTGACTCGTTTGAGTCCAAAGTTGGAAAAACATGTATATATATATATATATATATATATATATTGATTTAACTCAAAACTTTGTAAGATATTATAACATTATACTTAACTATATTAAGATATATATTACTTATACTTAACTATAGTTAAGATAGTGCTTAACTGTTAAGGACTATCTTAAACTACCCACACAGCACATGTTGACATAGGGTCAACCTATGGTCGTCACAATGGGCTGTAGGTTAACCTAATATAGTCTATAGTCAACCCACTAATTAGTAATTAGATTTAAAAAAACAAATTTTGATGATGAAACTGATGATGAAGTTCATGGTCTTAAAGAACGTTCTGAAAAATTATGAGCCTACGACAATTGGTTCGATTATAAAAATTTATCCAAGTTTGGAATAGTGATTCGTGTCAAAATTTCAAAATCTATCGTCACAATTCTAAATGTTGCTAACTTTTTGACAATTGTAAGTGAAATTTGGTCAATAAAAAGATGTAAAATTTAAAAAATTCATTCGGGTATGAATCATTTGTCGCATATTGCACATCGTCAATATGACATTGGCACACTTAAAAAGGTACATACACAATTAATAAAGATGACACCGCGATTTTCATTTGTTTGGACGATTATTTCATAGCGAATCGCTTTCCGTTCCATTTATATTCAATGAAAATTAGTTTTTAGCGATTATATAAATTCTGGTATGGAATTATAGCTAATAAAGTTATTGTAAATAACAATATAAGTTTCCACACATTTTGTATTGTATGATATATTTATAATTTTACATTTGGTAACTGCATAGATTAGGCAACTTTTAACAAAATAGATTAAGTAAATTTAATCATCTATGGATTCATTTATAAAATTAAGCATAACTTTATTGGCACAGTCAGAAAAGTAATTAATTATTTATACTATAAGATAATCGAACAACAAATGAAACGCGGAAAGAAGTTTTATAAGATTGAATAAAAAAAAATCTAAAGCGAAGAACATTTTTTCGATATATGTATTTAGATTTTCCACTGATTCAGAAAAATTATATGCAAAAACCGCTCTACTTATATTCAAAATATCATTCCTAACTATTAAGCAGACGTTATACAACATTTGGTTTTTTTATAAATTATACTTACTTCCATACGGTTCCACATACATTCTAGAAGACTTCTCTGTCTCGAAGCTTTTCAGGGATTTCGATGGTTCGAACTCATCTGTAACAGCGATATCTATAGCCTGCTCCAAACTCCTAGCAAAAACGCCCTTTTCCCTAGTCATTGGACGGAAATCAGCCAAACCCGGTTCAAATATCTCTCTTATACCAATCTAATGATAACATATTCATTTTGTCATTTTTAAATAATTCTTTCAGTCCCATGCAATAGATTTGATTAAATATTTAAAAAAATATTTAAAATAAATTAGAGACAGATGCTATATCTTTAGTACATTTTACCTTCTTTAAATCCTCTGTTACATCTACGATCCCCTTTAATCGAAACTTAGGTACCATTGCACGACCTCTAACAGGTCTAAGTGAATTTTCTAATTCGCGTAAAGCAATATTTTGCCGACAAATTTCTCTAATAACGTATTCGGTTCCACTCGAATATTGCCAAGGAAGTACTATTAGCGCATGATAAAGACCATTGGAATAAGCCATAGGTAGTCTCAAAACTGATGCTCCTATAGAACGAATTTCCGCTCTGTATAGTAAACCAGTCTGTAAATATAATATTAGCATAAAAAAGAGTTTTAATTATTATATGAGGTTTAAAAAAAGTTTGTATAAATTCTTACTTTAACAATATAAGATGTATATAAATGAAAAGATCCACGCTGGGTATAAAACGCCATCACCAATTCGGGTCGCCTTTGTTCTCTCCCGGTACGTGTGGTTGCATCGCTCAAGCCAACTAAAAAAGATTTGGTTTAGATTTGATTTACTTTACTAATTTTTGTACTAATTGCAATGTTTGTAAGAAACGTACTACTTAAAATACTCTTCTCTGATAAATCCTCCGATTCACCTGCGGTGTCTAATGTTACCTCAGGTTCGCTTTCTGTTGCAAATGTTGTCGAAATATCATTTAAGTCGCTTGTTTCTGTAGTGCTTATCTCTGTTTCTGTATCAGTGGTTTCTGTAGTGCTTATCTCTAAATCTTCATTATTTATAGAAGTTAATGTAGTGGTTGAAATTTCATCTGGTTCTTCTGTTGTCTCTGCTATCATAAAAGTTGTTAAATCGGGTAATACAGTATTTGGCACATCTATTTCTGGTGATTCTTCCAGATCTATTGTATTTGTGGATATATCTTCAGTCGTCATATAGACCTCACCGTTTCCTTCAACATCGACTGTAGTTGATGTAATTAGTTCAGATGAATCTTCCTTAGTATCTAAATTTGTATTCTGAGTTGTTGTTAAAATTTGTGGGGTAGTTGTAACTAAAAATTGTGTTGTACTTTCACTGTGACCGCCAATTATTTCTGGTTCTGTTACATCGTATATTATTGTTGTTGGATCTGGATTTATCGATTCTGTAATTTTTGTAGTACTAACTGTAACCGATTCTGTATAGACAGGTATTCGGGGAGAAGTATTTGTAGTTGTTTCTATTGATTCTGTTGATTCTGATTGCGTGCTTTTCAAACTAGTAGTAGCTTCTGAGATTTTAGTTACCGTCTCGACAATGCTAGTGTTATTTTCAATAATATCAAAATAATAACCATAATAACGCATAATTTCGCGGTATGACTCGGTAAAAGTAACATTGTGATTGTTGAGAGATAAAATTGATCTAAAGTTTCCACGTGGAAGAAAATAAGTCTGTTGAATAAAAAAATAGAATGCATTAAATAAATTTATTAATTAAACTTGCTTTATGCAAATAATAATGAAGTGGCTATGAGGAAATTTAAAAACAATACATGAAAATAAAAGTTTTGCATAAAAGATGATCCATCTAATAGATGTAATATAAAAGACTAAATCAAAATGATAAATTAATCTCATTTTGTTAATTATTATTTTAATTTTGATGATTAATATATAAACATCTTAATGACATACAAATTTAAATAAGAATAAAATAATACTTTTCAAACACAATTTATTTATTTATTATTAAACCAGTAATTATTAATTAAAAACTTAAGATAGCTTTATTCAACAAGTCTATCAAAAATTCTGATGTGAACTTTTACTGGTACAAGTTTGTGATCAGAATCTGAATAAAATAAATGAAAAATTACCCTTAATTTTCTATGGATATCTCTGTACCCAGACCTTAACAACTCTTTTTGCCATGGTAATCCTATGCAACTTTGAATTTCATTGGCACTTTTACCATCACTTCCTTCGTATAATGCTACCAAGACATTGATTAAACCGGAAGGTGAGAAAACTAAGTTCGCATTTCCATAACCGCTACACTTAAGATATAAAATTTTATTTGTCAACCGATTTGTTACATCTATAATTCTATTTACCGGCTTTTCATAAACATAAGGATAACAATTAACGGAAATAAATAACATCAAAAATATTATTCTCATGTTTGTCGTGCGCGTCGCCAGACTGCCCGTATAATACTAACTTTGCACAACGCGTGATTGTTTTTTAATATTTAACAAAGGTGAATCTATGCGTAGGCTGCAAAAGGTCACAAAGGTGATTGATCTTTCATAATTATATGGCAGTTTTACAGAATTAAACCAGTTTGAAACACACCAGATTAGAAAGAAAAGGTATTATTATTTAAAATTTGCCGCTTTAATGTAACGAGTGAAATAAGCCGCATTTTATTACAATAAAAATTTGACAGGTGTATTTGGCGCGAAAAGTCTTTTTACACATATTTACCAAAGTGCCTGCAACATTTTGATATTTTTATTCAATGTTTTTAATTTATTATTATATTTTAATTTAATTTCAATAAGATTTTGATACAATATTGATAAATATGAGTGATTCTCCCTGTGAGTATAATCTGGTTCATTAATTGCTGGTGTTAGATTTATTCTTATAATGTAATTTGTTAGCTCTGCCTCGTTCTAAACGCCAAAAATTGGATAGAAATGGTAGAGGAGCTGCTCTTGAAAAACTCAGAAAGTTAAAAGGATCCAAAAATAAATACGAGATTAAAGATGAAATAGAGAATGTGTATGAAACAGTTGATGAAAGTGAATATGCTAAAACAATCTTGGATAGACAGCATGATGACTGGATTGTGGATGGTAATTATATTCTATTTATAAGTTCCATTTGCATTTGCTTACTTACAATTCATTCGTCAAAAATATAAATCATCAATAAATTGGTAATATATACAAAAGCAGTTTTTTAAGTACTATTCTATCTTAAACAGGAGAGCGAAATAGTATCTTGGTACAAATACCATAATCCAATTGCTATTTATATTTTTCAAATAATTATTGACAATCCTCCTTGTTCTAAATTTATATACTAAATTCATGAATATTTTTATTTAGGCGATAACTTGAATTATAAAAACATATTTGAAAGAAATAGTTTTTTTAAATTTTCATTCTAGATTAAATTATATTATGAGGATAAATAAATTTCATCAACAAATATTATATTATGAATATAATAATCATATAAAATAATATACAACTGTTTAAAAATACAAATATAAACTTAATGACTTTAAACTCATTAATCTTGAAAGTAATTAAAATACAAAATAATTTTTACAAAATTAATTTTCAAATTTTAAAATCTGCAAATTCCATTGCAGATGGTACTGGTTACATCGAAGATGGACGTGATATTTTTGATGATGATGAGCTGGAGCCTCAGACATCAAGATCAAACAAAAAAAAATCAGAGTCAAAAAAACGTCCAAGGGTTTCAGAAAATATTAGTGGAAGCTCTTCTATCAGAAACATGTTTAGTAATGTCTCATATAAAAAAAGGAGGTAACTCTGAGATTTTTTTAATATTTGTGGATTTTTTGTTATATATATATATATATATATATATATATATATTTATATGGTTGTGTGTATTGATAAACAATTTATTGCATTGTTTGTAGCAATCTGTTAAACTTCAAGATGATGATATTTTATCAGACATACTTGGAGAAATCGATAACAATGAAGCAAGCAAAATAAATAAAATAAAGCCTTTAACTATTGCAAAAAATGTACTCAAAACCGGATTTACTGAAAGTGAGTCGGCTGCAGCAAAAGATTACATGAAGAAATTCAATACATTTACTGAAAAGTCTTCGTTTTCATCAAAGCTTGAAAAGAAAGAGGTATAGTAAAAAAAAGATGTATTGAATTGTTGCATTCTGTATTAATTATTTAGGTTTAATTAACAACGACTGTACTAATTATTTAGGTGAAGAAAGAATCGGATGATGTGTCTTCCATACCTGTTACAATAAATCAGGATAGAAATAAATCAAAATCCGGTAGTCATATAAATGAAATAATATCTAAGCCAGAAAATAAAACAATTGAGGAAGATTCTTCTTCAAAAATAAAGACTGACACAACTAATAATGAATTTCAAGATATAGATTTTGCAATGCTAGATGATGCTGAGAATCAAATCTCCTCCCCATCTTGTATTTCAGAAAATGATTTAAAACCTGAATGCATTGAGGAAAAAGGTAAACAGATATTTCGAGATACTTCTTTTTGCATAAATTTTAAGCTGCTGATTTATAGCTTCTTTAGAGAACAATTAATTGAAGAATTTATAAAGAATTAAATACAATTTACATTTGGAATTTACTACTAGTTTTACACTACATAGTTCACTCTACTACACTATTAACTTGCTGCATTCATCATTTTGAAAATGCTTTATGATGTATTATTTATAGAAGGAAAGTTATGCTTTAAGCTGATTTATTTTATTATAGGCATTGCAGAATGTACAAAATCTAAAGAGGAGGTAACTTTGGATGCTTCCATTTCTATTACTGATGAACATTTATTATCTGGTTGGCAAACTATTTGTGGAAATATAACTGAAAATGAAGAAAATGTGGAAAAAATGCAATGTGACATAAAAGATATAAGTGGAAAGGTAACTTAGTTTATAATTTTAGTAATTTGTTATATATATATATATATATATATATATATTTATTTATTTATTTACTTCTATTTATTTTTAGCCTTTGAAAATATGGTGGTGGGATGCCTGGGAAGATCCAATAAAAAGACCTGGAGAAATATTCATATTTGGTCGTCTGTCAACAAATGAAAAAATGCATAAACAGTCTTCGATCACTTCATTACCTTCATGTTGTGTTCGTGTTACGAATATTGAAAGAGTTTTATACTTATTACCTAGAGAATTTGTAAGTATTTCAATTATATTATTAATTATTGGTATTGAATATGTTAAAATTTTTGAAGATGTTGGATGCCGTCTCTTATGAAAAAACTGACAAAAAAGTTTCAATGTTGGATGTATATGAAGAATTTAATACAAAGGTAAAATAATATAAATTTTTGAATAATTTCTTATTTTTAATGTTTTTATTTAATTTAATAGATTGCACCAGCATTGAATTTAAGCATTTACAGAACAAGAAAGGTAACAAAAAATTATGCATTTGGTTCTGTGGATATACCAACTAGTTCAGAATATTTAGAAATTCGTTATGAGGTATGTCTTAATATAGAGTTTAGATATACATAATAAATATATGCACATATTTGAAATATACTTATTTAAACAAATATACTAATACTACTACTGCATAATATAATGATACTCAATTGTATATATGATTTATTACAGTACAATATTTTTTCCGAATTAAGCTAGTGCTTTATTATAAATATGATATTTATATAAAAAGGCATAGCTTTATTGAAACAGTATTGTCAATAAATCGAAGAATTCAAAAATATGTTTCTCACATTTAGTTACAAAGTATTAGCTAGCTAACGTTTACAACCTTTTGGCGCCACAAAATATTGAATAAGAAAAACTTGATTAGGTTCTTTAAATTAATTTCACAAATTTCAACAAAATAATTGATGTGTATTAAAAAGACTACAAAAAATTCCAGAAGTCTTGTACAGAAAAAGTATTCCAAACTTAAATCTACTATTAATATTATATTTTATTCTATATTATTTTACAGAGTTCTAAAGATTTACCTAACATGAAAGTTAGATATCTTACATTTTCTCATATTTTTGGAACAACATCTACGGCATTAGAGGAGTTTTTGTTGGATCGCAAGATTAAAGGACCTTGCTGGTTAGATATTGCTGCTGCCCAGGTATCAATTTTTTTATATCTATTTTTATTTATTTAGTACTATAATAACTAATATTTCAATCTTTGCAGGAAGTGAAAGATAAGCATTTAAGTTGGTGCAACATAGAATTATTGTGTACAAAACCGAAAGATATATCTATTGCACCAACTGAAAAAAATCTGACTCCACCAAGTTTAGTATTATCAACGGTATACTTATTATTCATACATTAAAATAATATTTAAGGATAAAATTTGAATGGTTTGATTTTTTCTTTTTGTAGTTAAATATACGTACTTGTTTGAATCCTAAAACTTCATTGAGTGAAATTGTGATGATTAGTTGCTTGATACATCAATCGTTTCCAGTTGATAAACCTGCTCCAAATCCCCCTTTTACACAACATTTTTGTGGTAAGCATGAGTTATGAAATATTATTATTAAATCAAAACAAATTCAAATCTAAAAATTTATTATTTTACTCTAGGATTTACTAGACCATGTAATAAGGTGTGGCCTGCAGATTTGCAATCCAAAATGAATAGCTATAAAATGACAAAAATCCAAAAGTGTGATTCTGAACGTGCTTTACTCAGTTGGTTTATGGCTATATTTTCTAAAACTGATCCAGATTTAATTGTTTCACATGATGCATTGGATTGTCAACTTGAGATCATATGTCACCGAATCGCATCATTGAAGTTACCTCACTGGTCCAAAATTGGACGATTGAGAATGAGTCAAATTTTTGGCAAAAGAATAAAAGATTGGTTTATTGGAAGAATGATATGTGATGTGAAATTGTCTGCTGAAGAATTGATTAAGTCACGTAATTATGATCTTGATACTTTATGTACAAATGTTCTTAAAATCAAAGAAGGTGAGCGTCTTGAGATAACAAATGATCAACTGGTGACCATGTATGATACTTCAGATAGTATTTTAAAACTGATTTCTTTAACAATACAAGATGCTTCATATATATTAAGATTGATGTGTGAAATGAATGTACTACCTTTAGCTTTACAAATAACTAATATTGCTGGTAATCTAATGTCAAGAACTTTACAAGGAGGGCGTTCTGAAAGAAATGAGTTTTTGTTACTTCATGCCTTTAAAGAACGAAACTACATTGTTCCTGAGAAAAGGGCACGTGAATATATTCGCGATAATGATGGTAATGATACCAGTTTAAAATCTACTCGTAAAAAGCCTGCATACACTGGTGGATTAGTTTTGGATCCCAAAAAGGGTTTCTATGATAAATTTGTATTGTTAATGGATTTTAATTCTTTATATCCCAGTATAATACAAGAATATAATATTTGCTATACAACAGTTCCAATACCAGAAAATGAAAATGATGAACTCATACTGCCAGATAAAAGTGTTGAGCCTGGTGTGCTCCCTACACAAATTCGTAGACTAGTGGAAAGTAGAAGAGAAGTAAAAAAGCTCATGGCAAACCCTGATCTGGGATCTGATTTGAAAATGCAGTATAATATAAGACAAATTGCATTAAAATTAACAGCAAATTCAATGTATGGTTGTTTGGGTTTCACACTCTCAAGATTTTATGCTCCACACCTTGCAGCTCTGGTTACACAAAAAGGCAGAGAAATTCTTTTACATACTCAGAATCTTGTTCAAAAGTTATGCTATGATGTCGTATATGGAGATACTGACAGTATAATGATCAATACAAATTCTACAGATTATGATGAGGTTTATAAAATTGGCAGCAATATCAAACAAATGGTTAATAAAATTTATAAACAAGTTGAACTAGATATTGATGGAGTATTTAAATACCTATTATTGCTCAAGAAGAAAAAATATGCAGCTGTAACAATATCAAAGGATAAAAATGGCTTCGTGCTCAATAAAGAACTGAAGGGTTTGGATATTGTACGACGCGATTGGTCTCAAATTGCAGTTATGGCAGGCAACGTCATTTTAAACGAGATATTATCAGATAATGAACTAGATGATCGAATAAGGAATATTCATCTACATCTGGGAAAGTTTAAAGAAAATATGGAGCAAGGTTTAGTTCCATTGCCTTTATTTACAATCACAAAACAGTTGACAAAAAACCCCAAAGAATATTCTAATGGCCAAAGTTTGCCCCATGTTGTAGTAGCATTGCGTATGAATTCGGATAATTCTAAGAGATTTAAGAAAGGTGACATGGTTCCCTACATAATTTGTGAAGATGGAACAGAATTACCAGCTACTCATAGAAGTTATCATGTAGATGAATTTAAGTCTTCAGATGGAAAACTCAAAATAGATTTGAATTACTATTTAGCACAACAAATACATCCTGTTGTAACACGGCTATGTGAGCCTATTGAAGGTATTGATGCTAGTCAAATCGCTGATTGTTTAGGTTTAGATCCCAAAGCATTCAAGGCTGCTATTAACAGGTTAGATTTATTTTTATCCATTAATATATTAATATTATGCTAGTGTAACATTGCAAAAATTAATTGTTAATATTGATTATTATTTTAAAAAAAAAATTATTTAAATTTTTAGATCACGAATAGAGCATAGTGAGGATGCAGTAACTGAAACACATCAATCAAATAATTATGAAAAATTCAGTCAATCAGAAAAATTTTCATTCAAATGTCCGATGTGTAAATCAGTAAATACTTTGGCATCAGCTGTTAAACGGTGTGATAATTTAATATTACCAGCATTAGAAAAATGTGTTAATACGGAATGCCAAGCCAGACCTTATGAATATATTAATCAAATTCAGAATGCACTGACCTTAAGTATACGAAAGTTTGTTAAACAATTTTATGCTAATTGGATGATCTGTGATGAACCATCCTGTGCTAGAACAACTCGAATTCTGTCACATTGTGTGAATTCAAATAAACCTGTATGTCTGACTTGTGGAAAAGGTGGATTAATAAGACAATATACTGAAAGTGATCTCTATACCCAATTATGTTATTTTCAGTATATTTTTGATATACAGAAACATGACACCAAAAGTAAGTATTAAATATAGCGCTCAAATTCACTAGTGTTCCTAGTGTTGTATATGTTTCGTTATAAACTTAGAATTTATTACTAAGTTATCATTGTTTTTGTATTTTTGTTTGTTTGCCCAAAATATGATTAAATAATTATAAATATTATTTAATTATGACATGAAAATGTTTTAACTGATTTTTTTTCACTTATAGAGTTACGACTGACACCAGAGATTGAAAATGTCTACAGTATTTTGAGAGATACTGTGGATTCCGTTATAGAGAAATCTGCTTACAGAGTTGTGAATTTATCAAAAATATTTTCAAGACTGTATCCTAGTGCCTATGCCGATTTAGCAAAATCTGATATTGATATACCATGTTAAATTTTATGTTAATTTTAAATGTATTTTATTGTGTAAATATTTAATCAACATATGATTTTTTAATATATATTATAAAATCAAGTTGTTGCTATATTTACAACCTTATTCTAAATCTTAAAATTTAATTGACTATTTGGTTTAATATGATATGATTTGGTTTAACTATTGAAAATATCTTCATAAATATTTAGTGTAATACAGTGAAAAGGTTTTCAATTTGTTGATCTATTATAATAGGCAGACCAAATAGACATTTGGAAGTTTTGAAACAAAATCAAATTTAATACAAGCTGAATGTTTTTAAAATTACAATAATGATCTGCAGTAAAGATTTATCGTCTTAGAAAATACATCATTTTCTTAATATGATATAAGTGAGGTAATAGGCTAAGGGGTAGTGCGCTGTCTTTTATCTTTTGGTGGGCCCCACTCACCACACTCTTATTTTTAATTAACTTTTAAACCATTATGTGTCTTCTAGGGAACTACTCCTATTTCTTAGTTTGGAGAGATAGCATTGAATATGTGACAGAAACTCCTGGAACAGTAACCAGACATAGCAAAAACTGGAAAAGTATTATAAACTAAAAGTATTTCAAATTGTTACAAATAATTTTATTATATATAAATAATATATAAACAAAAACAAATCATAAACGAAACGCATGACATATTCGATGACTAGCGCAGATGACAACCTAGGGATAACAACTTTAAGTTGGTTATGATGAAAGTGTAAATCCTTGCACCGATCTGGCAATACTTTTCTTATAATTGTGTTCTGATAACCACAGCATTCTATGGAAACTAAAAAAACTTGTATGCCATAAAATATTAATTACGTTAAGTCTTTCAAAGTTTTATATTTAATGGTGATAGATTGTACATAGTTAGTACTAAAAAATGTGTCATCCACTCTATTAATAATTTATATGTTAATTAATACAAGTGTTTAGATAAATGTTTTCGAATGCAACATGTCTTCTCTGCAATTTATAGTTCACCCATTACCTGGCAATGAAGATCAATTAAACGATAGGTATGTCGTTTAATTTCCATTTGAATCAATTCAATGGAGAAATATAATTTAGAATAAAACTACATCAAAATTCGAAGAATTTTAACATGTTCTGAAAAAAAATTAATCATTGTAGACTTAGAGAAGTCGCTGACAAACTCAATCGTTTTGGTTATACAACGCCTCAATCATTGAGCTCTATAAGAGCACCTATTAAGGAAATTGTCGTCGGTCCAACTCATTTTGGAATTCTATTTGAAGATGGTCAAGTTTGTCGGTTGCCATTCTCAATTATCCCTGATAGACTAGATTTGACCAAGCAGGATACTACGAGAAGGTAAGAAGTTATGTTATGTACATTAATACAATAAATCAGTATTTATTCTAACCATATCCCAACTCCTTAAGTTTTCCAAATTGTTCAATTCATTTCAACAAATTTCTTTATTATTGTTTCAATTCAAATATTTCTTGCTTATTGTTTTGATATTTAGATTTAAGCTTTAGATATTTCATTTTAGTTAAGCATTGTAAAAAAAATTGACTAATGATCAAATTAAATTTATTTCTTAATATCAATAGCAAAATTTTCTGTACACTTCTGTTGGTTAATTGTTATAAACTAGCTGCAAAGAAAATGGTGGAATGGATATTAAATTAAAAATTAAATATTTTTAATTGAAATATATAATAATTGCAACCCAAAACTTAAACTATTCATATATGTACTACAAATTTAAAAAGTATATATATATTTAAAATTTAAAATATGGAAATCTATATTAGCATTTTGTGTTATCCATTACAAGTCGCTCGATACACTGTCCTCTGTCACACCAACGGTCGTCGGTGTCCGCATTCTCTCCCACTTGAAAACCACTTGAAATTGAATGGTCACGCAATCAGATAGGAAAGAAAGGATTAGGGTCCAGTTGAAAAATAGATGTCGTTACGAGTATTTTTCAACATATTATTTAATAAATTGGTGCAAAAAAGTGTTGTTTGTTCATATTGCCAAATTAATATCTATTATCCACTCAGAATACATTTGTTATATATATATATATATATATATATATATATATATATATATTCAATAGATAAGTCCTGGATTTTTTGAGACAACATGAATTAAGCGTCACTCATCATAAAAGCCGAAGTTTCCAAAGCACTCTTGTCCAACATTCAATTGAAAATTCACATATTTTTACCTTTGAACCCAATATTTTATATAGAGAGGATTGTACTTTTGAAAGACTTTTTTCTGAAAGCAGTTTAATCTTTTTGAATTCGTCAAATTGTGTTAAAAAAAGATCAGATCATAATATCATTCTTGACTCGTATCTAAATTTTTTAAACCTAATTAAAAACAATTAATCCTTTAATAATTTTGTGTATATATATACATGTATATATGTTGTAATACAGGGGTCGGCAAGCTTTTAAGTGTGGTGTGCCGAGCCACTCTACCAATATGATTCAGGGTGCCGCCTGAATTCTGAAATATATAACCAGGTTCTGGGGCAGAAGAATTATAACCAAATTTATCTTTTAAACATTTTTATTAACTAGTGGGGTGCATGGCATCGTGCCTTAATTCAAATTGCTAGAACTTCCCATACTGAAATTAAAAATCTTGGTACTGAACCCAAAAAAAAATTACACAAAATATGTACACAGTATTAAAATCTCTATAAAATATCTGATAATTTGATGTACATAAGTCCAATGGATGTAAAATTACTACAATGTTTGTAAACAATACTACAATGGGTGTAAAATTACTACAATGTTTGTAAACAATATTACAATGGGTGTAAAATTACTACAATGTTTGTAAAAATACTACAATGGGTGTAAAATTACTACAATGTTTGTAAACAATACTACAATATGGGTGTAAAATTACTACAATGTTTGTAAAAATACTACAATGGGTATAAAATTACTACAATATTTGTAAACAATACTTCAATGGGTGTAAAATTACTACAATGTTTGTAAAAATACTACAATGGGTGTAAAATTACTACAATGTTTGTAAACAATACTACAATGGGTGTAAAATTATTACAATGTTCGTAAAAATACTACAATGGGTGTAAAATTACTACAATGTTTGTAGACAATACTACAATGGGTGTAAAATTACTACAATGTTTGCAAAAATACTACAATGAGAGTAAAATTACTACAATGTTTGTAAACAATACTACAATGGGTGTAAAATTACTACAATGGGCGTAAAAATACTACAATGGGTGTAAAATTACTACAATGTTTGCAAAAATACTACAATGGGTGTAAAATTACTACAATGGGTGTAAAATTACTACAATGTTTTACAATGTTTGTAAACAATACTACAATGGGTGTAAAATTACTACAATGTTTGCAAAAATACTACAATGGGAGTAAAATTACTACAATGTTTGTAAACAATACTGCAATGGGTGTAAAAATACTACAATGGGAGTAAAATTACTACAATGTTTGTAAACAATACTACAATGGGAGTAAAATTACTACAATGTTTGTAAACAATACTACAATGGGTGTAAAATTACTACAATGGGTGTAAAATTACTACAATGTTTGTAAACAATACTACAATGGGTGTAAAATTACTACAATGTTTGCAAAAATACTACAATGGGAGTAAAATTACTACAATGTTTGTAAACAATACTACAATGGGTGTAAAAATACTACAATGGGAGTAAAATTACTACAATGTTTGTAAACAATACTACAATGGGTGTAAAATTACTACAATGGGTGTAAAAATACTACAATGGGTGTAAAATTACTACAATGTTTGTAAACAATACTACAATGGGTGTAAAATTACTACAATGTTTGCAAAAATACTACAATGGGAGTAAAATTACTACAATGGGTGTAAAATTACTACAATTTTTGTAAAAATACTACAATGGGTGTAAAATTACTACAATTTTTGTAAAAATACTACAATGGGTGTAAAATTACTACAATATTTGTAAACAATACTACAATGGGTGTAAAAATACTACAATGGGTGTAAAATTGATATGTGGAACCAAAAGGTGAAAGGATAATGCATGCAATTTTCTTTAAACAATTAAATATTTCCGACAATGTCATCCAACAATTTAATTTTCCATAGAGTCGTCTTCCTGATTTTTTCGTAATTCCTTAAATTTTGTTTTCCATAATTCTAAAGATATTAGTTCCATAATTTCCATTTCAAAATCATCAACATTCATCCACTCAAAAATTGAAAAATCAAACGGTATTATTGATGGATCTATGAAATTTGGTTTTATGAGGAAGGAAAATTTAGGCACATAAGCTTTAAAGTCTTTGCATCTGGAAAATTCATCTTTAAGTGCTTCAATGTAGATTGAATTACATTAGCGAGCTACATTAGATAAGTAATTATATTTCAACATTTTTTCTTATTTAAAAATCACTTTGTCTCGATATATTTGCGATTGCCCTGATTATTTTGTAGAGTGCCATGCAGAACGCCGTCGCGTGCCAAGCCTGGCACGCGTGCCGTAGGTTGCCGATGCCTGTTGTAATATATGCACATCCACATTTGTGCTTATATGTATGTTTTCATATTTACACTATATACATGTACTTGTGTATATGTTCGTGTATATAATTGTGGGTACATGAATATATGGATATATGCATATGTATGTATGTATGTGTATGTAGGTGTGCATATACATGTGCATGTATATATACATAATATTTCTCAACATTTACTAAAGCAATATTTCCTCTTTTTTCGTAAATTACCAATACAAGAGCCATAAAAAATTATTCTTGCCTAAATTCTGTACATATCCCCTACATCTGGTCGACAGAACTCCATATTAGTTTTAGTCTTGTGAAGTCGTAACATCTACAAATATCCTCAAAAAAAATCGAGTGTTTTTAACAAAAAATATTAGTGATATGGATATATAAATTATTACATATATAATAATTTATATATGTAATATATAATTTATTTATATATTAGAATTTTTTCTAATTAATCTGTAATGACCATCATTAATTAATGTTAATCAATATTTTTAAAAAACATTGTATTTGACAGAATAAACTTGATGATGGAACGTACCTAGTTCCGAAACGTCGTTATTAAACATCTTCAAAAAACAAATTGTTTTTCATTATTAGATTTACTATTCGGAAAAGGAACAATCAATATATATATATATATATTATATATATAGATTTGTTCTATCAAACTTTCCAATTATAGTAATCTCCTGTTCATCAAAATTATTATTCAATGAAAATAATGTAAATATATTTATTGATTTATACATATTTTTTTATACAAACAAGTCAGTATATAACTTTTTATCTGAAATTGATTTTTTTTTACAAATCATTAAAAGGTTTGTATATTAAATATTTCAATTTAATTTTGTTTTTTCAAACATAGTACTGGATCAGGTGGATCTGGTGTGCCTCCTATAGGAGGAACTTCAAACAGCAATAATTCTGCTGGCAATGGCAATAAAGGCAACTCTAGTAGCGGAGCAGCAAATGGTTCAACTGGACGTCAGCTTGCAAGATCCCGAGCTAGGATATCCATGAGAGCCACCAATACTGCTGTCAGAGGTATTTAGTAAAATTTCTAATATCTTGATTTTAAACTATTAATGGAAATCTGTGCATGATATAAAAGCATAAGGAATTTTATTTATTCTTCTAGAATAACATTTATGTTTAAGTGTTGTTAAATTGTTAAGAACTTTGATAATAACCAATATAATTAGTATATAAAATATTTTATCTTACCTAAACATACCCTGAATGAAAATTACTTTTTGCTATAATATTAAACTTTTGATATAGGATCACGTGGTGCTGCTGGTGTCATAATTGGAGCAGGTAGTGGCAGTAGCAGTTCAGGGGGGACACGTTCTGTTGTGTCATTACCTGCCCCATATGTGCCAGAAGATCTAGTTTCACAAGCACAAGTTGTTCTGCAGGGAAAAAGTCGAAATTTAATCATTCGTGAATTACAGGTAACAATTTGTCAGTACAGGATAAATTGAGACATTCAGGATGCTGATTAATTTAACTTTTTTATTTTAGTTAATAGGCAATAAAACTTTTGACCAATTATGAGAACTTATCTTTAATTAATAATTTAATTTTAAGTTATTAATTTTTGAATGTATTTTTTGATTTTCTCCTTCCCCTTCATTAAAAATTTATTATATTATATTAGTTTATTATTAATTTTTTAATTTGCTAATGAGGAATTTTGGAAATGTAAATATCAAAACTTAAAATAAAAAGAAATGATCTAATACTATTCAGTTAATAACATAACAAAGAAAATTTTGATTTTTATATTAGCGGACCAATTTGGATGTTAATTTGGCTGTGAATAACTTACTTTCACGAGATGATGAAGAAGGTGAAGATGCTGAAGATGGAAGTGACTACGTTCCAGAAGATCTAATAAGTTTATTAGATGGTGGTTTCCATGCAGCAGCTGCTGCTGATCATGGTAGTGTTATAATTGATGCAGATGCCATGTTTTCTGAAGATGTGTTTGGGGGTTATTCCAATATACGGAAGTGAGTTATATAGAAATAGTCAAGCATCTTCCATGTTGTATAAATGTATTTATTTCTGTTTTTGTTTATTTTCTTTGCTGCATGTTTATTAGAGTACTAAGTAGTATTTGTGGGTGAATGATTTTCTTTAATATCAGAATGTTGCATAAAGTTTAGTATGTGATATATATATATATATATATATATATATATATATATATATATATATATTTGAATAGTCTTGAATTTGATGTTGATATATATGTTTAATTTGAGTTTAATATTCTGGCGTAACGTCAATAAAAGTAGTATGAGAGTTTTTTTGTCAAATGTGATGTTTGTGTTAAAAAATATATATCTTATCAATGTGCACATACTCATACCATGGATTAATAATGGTTTCATATGCTATATTAGGATACAAAATTTTAAGTGTTTTATTATTATTATTATTATTATTGTTTTACCATAAAATTTTCTTTCATATAATTTATTTAGTTTCAATTTTTTATAGTTAATTTGATTACCACTGAATGATGGCTAAGATGCTAGCCGAAACGTATGGATTTTAAATAAATAAACTTTTAAGAAAACTCTCATACTATTTTTATTGATGTTATGCCCGAATATTAAACTCAAATTAAACATATATATATATATATATATATATATATATATGTGTGTATATTCATTTACAATTTACTAATATTTGTTGTTTATTTTAGAGGTTGCTTTTATAAATAACAACCACTAATATTCACACAAATGAAATTCAAATTTTTTGTATTAGTTGGAAAATATCAGTATTTTTTCATAATCATTAACTTTTAATTAAAATTGCAGTTAATATTTGGTTGTTATTTAAGATTAAATCTCCTGAGAAAAAGTTCCATTTTGCTGTAATTATTGCTTATTAAACACACATAATGAATATGCTATAATCATATAGCAGTAGGGTTTTATTGCAATTTATCTCAATTAAAGCGAGATAAGATTTGCAATAAAAATACAAAGTCATATGTAAATACAAGTAGTGTTATGCAAATGTTTTATCAATTTTTCTGAAAATAATGCATGCGTTGCTCACATTGGATTGGCCAAACGTATATATATATATGTTGATAGTTTTGTCGACATTGATACATATTCAAATGTATATATTTATACACATACACAAAAATTCGATTTTCTCTAGAAGAGAGTACCAACAAAATCGTCTCACTAAAATGTTCATTGCACTTGAAAATACTCTTATTTGTTTTATCTGATATTTACTGCGGAATTGTTTTATAAGCATCATTTTACATGAACTGAACCAATAATTAATGAACATAATTCAGTATAATATTTGATTGAGATTTTTTTAAATAAGTTTTTTTTGATATAGTTTTATTTTCTTATGTGAATTCAGTTTAAATGGCATGGAACCAACACTCAATTTTTACTACTACTTGTTTAAAACATGGCTAATTTTCAATTCATATAATTTCGTTTGGCGCGCTAACCTTTGCCTTTTAAAACACCTAACCTCTTTGTCTTGGTCTGTTTTGGCTATGTTTCCGTTCTATGAAACAAGCTTATTGTACAGTCGCAGTCGTGGATCTGCACCCGCTTCATCTTCCGGCGCTGGGGCACGAGATAGCGCTGCACCTGGCAGTGGAGCTTCATCCATCAGTCAACAGCAACCAGCCTCCTCTACAGGGCCAGTGGCAGTCAATCCATCTAGCAGTGGTCCTGGCAATAATGCATCCAGTGGTGCAGGGGGCGTGCCAGTAGAGAGAGACAGCTTTTCAAGATGGAGAGATAGGCATTATTTTGGACCAAGGAGATGGTTTTCCAGTTCTTTAAGGGATGACACTTCTTGGGAAAAGGATTCTCCAACCACTGGTATGACATGTTTGAAGGGATGTCATATTTTATAGGAGATATATATATGCATATTTATATATGTATATCGAAAGAGAAAGAGAGAGAATATCCATATAATTTGATGTTTATAATCAGTGAAACCAGTTAGATTCTGTAAAAACAAGAAAATAATGTTCGATCCAAGTTTTTTTTGCTTTCTGCTAAAAAGAATTTATAAAAGCGTTCATACAAAGTTTTATTCTTTGTACATTCATAAAAGACTTATTTATTTGCAAAATCTTGATTTATTTCTTTTTTAGAATCTAAAAAGAAAGATACTTCTCCACCTGGTTCTCAACCGCCTACAGCGCTTCCGGCGAGCACAGCAGCCAGTAGTCCGTTGTGGATTTCTGATGAATTAGAACATTGGCCTTTAGAAAGAAATTCTTCAGCGGTAAATGATACTCAGACAACACCTAGATTTTCAAAGATTGCTTGCTTGCATTCTGAATTAATCGCAGTATCAGCAGTAGATGGTAAATTACATCAGTGGCGTTGGTGTGATCCTGAACCTTACAAACATCCGGATGTGAGTTTTTCAGAATAAAATGTGATTTTATATGCAATTTTGAAATCCATTATTAAAATTAAAGTTAAAATTACAAGTTAAAAGTAAAATTAAAGTTAAAATAACAAGCAATTGATTTTTGTTAAATTTTTTTTTCAAATGTTTTGAATGATAAAATTTAGAAACATGTTTCACATATTTTATAATAGATATTGTATTTCATGGAAAAAACTTGTTTTTTTTATTTTTATAGTTGCCTAACATACATCATCCCAAAGTGCAAGCTCTGAATTTAGTTAATGAAGTTATAGTGCATATTTCAGCAACATCAATCCGATGTTCTGTTGCTACTGAATCTGGAAAAGTGGCAACTTGGCTGGATGAAACTTTATGTCATGCAAGTGGAAAATTGGAACATTCAGCTCAGGTAATTTTTTTGCAATGAAGCTCTTTTGTAGCAAATTTTAACTGATGTGATTTTATTCTAGGCATTTAGTGAATTTTCGCAGGACCGTATAACAAACCTCTACACATGCACATTATATACTGTAGTGCGTTTAGAAAGTGGTGCACTATATTGGTGGTAAATAAAGTTTACATGTGGATTTATATATATATATATATATATATATATATATATATAATTTATTCATTCATTCATCTATCTATTTTTTGCTTATAATCATTTACAAATATTTTTTTAATAGGGGAATTTTACCATTTGCCCAACGTAAGCGATTATGGGATCGCCATAAAGCTAAAACACGCAAACCTTCTAGACCATCTAGTATTGAAGTTACTTGCGGTGCACAAGTTTGTATGAAAAATAGTCCTATGTATCAGCCAGGAGCTATCGGTAATTTTATAACATATATATATAAGTAGGGAGTATGCTGCAGTAGTTGAATTTTTTTGCTGTGTACAGGTTTCACAATTTCAAATGGTGTTCCAAAAGTTGGGCAACTTCAAAATTCTGCTTGGAGTTTAACAGATTTATGCCAATTTAAGGTTTTGCCTGCACCAGTTTCTGAGAATTCTCACACAAGTAACATAACCACAGGTAAATTGTTTGTATTTAAGTATGTGTATATATATATATATATATATATATATTGTTGGTATCTGTTTTTGATATACATTTTTATAATATTTTTATAAACACTAATTTAATCATCTGGAAATACAGCTGAACAATTCCGTAGTTATTTATTATTTTAATAAACCATGATTATTTTGTTTCAAATATTTTCCTAACAAAGCTTTGAACTTCAGCTTCAATAGGAGCAACAACTTCAGGGCCTGGTAATTCAAAAGGAACTTGTGTTCAAAAGGAAACAGCCGATCGTATGGATATGCCACCTCCACCATCACCAGCTTCTAGTACTTGTAGTGATACTGGCAGTATTACTAATAGTCACAGTATGTTAAATTTTATATAAATATTATTAACACACACACATGTAAATATATATGCCTTATTCAAATTGTATATAAGCTAACTGAGAATGATTTAGGATATAAGATAATAATATTGTTTTAGGTTTTCAATATTACAACAATATTCAATCCGTGAAACATTAGTATAGTATTTAGATATGTGTATCTAAATTGTGTAATACGTTTTTTTCTAATTTAATATTTCAGTCTATTGCTATTTAAAAGACTCAATTAATTACGAAAAAAAACCTTTTTACAAGATAATTTAATTTTCATTTTATTAATCTCAACTAGATGCACAATCTGAAAAACTATTTATCATATTACATTACAATTACAGAAAGACAAAGAAGAGTGACTGTAAAAGATGACTCAAATATTGAACCTAAGAAAGATGATGAAGAATTGTGGTTACTGAAGGATGTTGTTTTTATTGAAGATGTTCGCAGCATACCCATTGGTATATGCATTACTTTATTACAATTGTACTTGTAAATAAATTAACAAAATTTTTATTGTTTTGAAAATAGGTAAAGTATTGAAAGTTGATGGAGCATATGCAGCAGTAAAATTTCCTTCAGCAAGCATAGGAAAAAATGAGAAAGAAGAAGAAACTTGTAATTTATTGCAAGATTGTAGATTGATGAGAAAAGATGAATTACAGGTATTGTCAATTTCAATATAGGCAAATATGCTACAGTACTTAATGTCTGTAATTATTATTTAATTTTTATTTAAGGCCACCATCAAAATATATGTATGTAAAACAATTTACTTCATGATGAATCTAATATATAAGAATAGTGTTTAATTTTTAGACTATATATCTAAACTAATATGTATCGTATCTAATAACTGAGTTGTGATCCGAACTAATTATTATCAAAAAGTTAGATACTGTAATAACTATGAGACGGCAAAAACAAAATATTATATTATTATATAATTCATATTTATCAAGTATTATATAATTCATATTTATCAAAAGTGAATTTGGATTTTCCAATTTATCAACTGGAAGTTGTCCAAAATTTTAGTTTACATGTTGCATTCTTCTAACTAAAAATATTTTATGTAGGTGATAAAATCAATGACAACATCACGTGCTCCTGACTGTTTCCAAAGATCGCCACGACGCATATCATTACCAGAAGGTTTAGCTCCGCATGTATTGTCACTAGCTGTGGATACCAGAGGTGTTCATGCTATTGTAAGAGGTGGAAATATAGGATCTAGGTTATGCTACTCAGTATTTTCATTGAACACTGGGCGACAAGAAACTGAAGCACCTTTTCCTAGTGACCCTACTGCATTTCTTGGTTTGAATATAAGTGATATCAGTTTGACATGCATTGGTGAGGTAAATTATTGCTCTTTTTTTGCAGTTACTTTTTTTTTTGACTACTCTTTTGTATTATTTATGAACTATTCAGCATTTATGTTTTTGTAATAGAACTATATTGGAAATTAAATAATTAGCAGAAGTTTTATATTTAATTTAAATTTAACAGGGAAATGATAGTGTGCTACTACTGAGGGATGGGAATCGCACTTTATATCCATTGGCCAAAGATTGTATGGAATGTATTCGAGATCCCAATACACTAGACTTGCCCCCTATAAGAAGTTTAGGAGCATCTGTAATAGCATTGCCTTCATCATCGATTTCAAATAATCTTAAAACCCAAGTAAATTAAATAGTTATAACAGAATTATTGCTTATACTTCAAATGCCAAAATTTAATTTTAGGTGGCTCTTATAGCAATGGCAACAGAAGTGCAACTTTTGATGCCCAGAATTTTAAGATGTGATATTGAAGGAATTAAAATAATTTTAGCCCAACTGGAAGGTGACTTGAGTTAGTATAACTAATTAAAATAAAAAATTATGTCGATTAGTTAATTTTAAATTGCTTATACAATTATAATTTCACAGAATCACAATTACCTTTGGTACTAAATGAACGTTGTGATGGTAATAGGAATATTCTACATGCTTGCGTTAGTATGTGCGCACCTGTTTCAAACAAAATTTTTGACATAACTGGTAAGTATTTTACAACATGTTACTCAGATCTCAGACAAATTTTCAATGCTCATTTTTTCTTAATCTAGGTCAAACGGAACAGGGATTATCTATTCCAGAATCGGGTCCCAATGTGACTTCAATTCCTGTAGCTCCTCCTCCTGCTACAGAGGAACCTTCAATGCCTATAGTATATTGGTCAGAAAATTTTGAACCACAGCCTCCACCTAGTGAAGTTGAAAATGGGTATTTACTTTCAATATACTTATTGCTTCTATATAATTGAATTGAAATCTTTCAAATTGAATGACTTGAAATAAATATTGGTATTTCTATGATTTTCTTTCTTAATATTTTTCAATGTTTTATAAAAGTTACATGATGCACACAATATAAAATGCAATTAGTATATTTTAGAAATATGTATTTTATTTTTAGTATTTTTAATTAAAATTGATTTTATATGAAGGAATAAGGTGCTTATATATAAATCATCTAGATCAAATTATTGTATCATCTATTCGCTTTACAAAAAACATTACATAAAATAAATCAATAATCCAGATTATTCAATATTTTAATTAATTTAAGGTGCAAAAATTCTGCTTCATCAGTTGCAAGCACCCAGAAAGGTAATGCCAATGTAGCTCCCATATTCATAATTGATGAGAATGAAAGACGCAATAATGCCATTGCAGCTGTCCAACTGTTATGTGATAGTCCAGCATTACAACCACATCTCAAAGAATTGCTAAGTGCCAAGTATGTTTTACTCTCTATTGTTAATGCCAAAAAGAACTAAAATGTAAATAACATTTACAAACAGATAAATTATTTTTTCTTTTAAGTTTTATGTTATGATTTACCATACTTCCATACACTCACACTAATATTCAAAGTCAATTATGGTATATGAAGATTCATTCAACATACTCAATTTCAATTTCGAGAAGCTACACACATTTTATTATCAATTATTTTGTATTTAATTTACTTTGCATTCGATAATTCTTCATTTTTATTCATTCAGGGATGCACAAGGGCAAACTCCGTTCATGCTTTCAGTGGCAGTTCGTGCCTATCGTGCTGGTCTTACTTTGTTGACCACTATCAGCCAAGTAAGTGGTGGAAATGCATCTATTAGAGACAGTATGCTATTCCCTCCTGGTAGTGCACCAGATCATTCACCATTGCATGTTTTGTGTTGTAATGACACATGCAGCTTTACTTGGACTGGCGCAGAGCATATTAATCAGGTAAATATATCTATATACTTATTTACTTAAATATCTTGAATTTAGATTATTGCTTTTTTTATATGTTTATATTTAATATTTATGTGGGCACTAGATACAGTGAACTATAGAAGATTATAATTTACTCATAAAGTGCCCAAAATCAAATGTTCTTCGATGACTGTCACTAATATAGTTTAATGTGAAAGACAGATACGGAACAAACATTTATTAAGTATGTACATAATAAACTCATGAATATGTTAGTAACTATAATACATTATAAGCTGAAACATGTGTAAAAATAGTCATTATATATCTTTATGCTAAATACAATTGAATTTTGTTATAGGATATATTTGAATGCCGAACTTGTGGTCTGACAGGTTCTCTTTGCTGCTGCACTGAATGCGCAAAAGTAAGTTATTAAACTTTTACGCTAACCGTAAAAGATTTAAAAATTAATATCATTAAAATATGAATATTTTAGGTTTGCCATAAAGGACATGATTGCAAACTGAAGAGAACTTCTCCAACAGCATATTGTGATTGTTGGGAGAAATGTAAATGCAAGGCATTGATACAAGGAAGTCAAACTGCAAGATTTACTCTGATGTGTCGATTGGTTGCAGGAACAGACTTGGTTACAACATTTAATAGCCGGTTAGTTAAATAGAAAAAATTGGTAGAAATTTATGATACTAAAATACTATTACAATATTTGCAGAGGTGAGAGTATTCTGTTGTTCTTAGTCCAAACAGTGGGCAGACAGTCAATCGAACAAAGACAGTATAGAACTGCAAGGCCCAGAAGCACCTCAGGTAAGGGAAAGGCTATAATTCATATTATTTAATAATGTTACACAGCATATATATGTGATTTAAATTTTAATATTATATTAGCTGAAGGAGATATGCCTGATCATGATTTAGAGCCCCCGCGATTTGCTAAGCGTGCTCTGGAATTTATTTTAAGAGATTGGCCAGGTTTGCGAGCTATGATATTATCAGGTGTTGTGGACAATTCTGTATGCAGCAATCTTCAGAAAGAAGATGATACTGCATACATAAATGGTCAAAGTGGAACTACATTATTGGATAGATTTACTCACAATCTTTTTGTACGATGTAATTGTGATGTAAGTTTTAACATTAACTTTTATTCATAATATTACTATATATTATATTATATCAATATTATGTTATTAGTTCGAGGTTTGTTTAGAAATATTTTATGAAATTAGAATTTAAAAGATTTGCTTCAATAATAGTTATAAAAAATTGTATATTCCAAGTCCATCCATAATGTGTTTATTTTGATAACTGTCACTATATTCTGTGAAGATTGCATAAGCGCAATAACTGTATGTTAATAAAAGAAACCTAGTTATATTAATTCTGTTAAATTCTTACATTTTAGTTGCTAGATGCTTTACTAGAAACCTTAGTACGAGAAATTAATAACACATCTGTTCCTGGGCGCTGTGAAGAAGCTACTCTGGTAGGAAAAGTTAACTACATTCGTATTGGAAGTTTTATTTTTATAACTATTTTTTTTGTAGGTTGCAAGGCGTTTTGTAAGATCAGTTGCGAGAGTTTTTGTGATATTCAGTGTTGAAAGTACGCCATCGGCAGACAAGAGAAGAGGGTAAGGATGAATAGCTTTTATTGACAGAATCTGGATTTGCTTTTTCTTTTTAGAAGATTCCAATTCTAAATTTAGTACAGTGCTAATAGACTTCTGCTTTTATAGAGTTGGTGGCAGTGTGCATCCAATATTAAAATGTCGAAAAGTTTTCCAGTCTCTTATCAAATTATCTATTGAAGAATTATGTGAGACTGCAGATTCATTAATTTCACCAGTCAGATTAGGTGTTGTTCGACCAACAGCGCCATTTTCTTTGCCTAATTCTCCAGTTGAAATTGTTAACGTTTGTATAAAATATATTTAATTATTAAACATATTTATAATTTATATATAAATTAACTGAAGTATTTATTATAGAGTTCCGAGGATTTATTTTCTGTTGAGCCTTTGACGCCTTTAAATACAAGGGCTAACATTTCGACAAATTCAAATGTATTATCTGCAGATATGACAAATAATGGTGCCAGTAGAAATCGTGGCATTGGCCAAAGAATACATACATCAACTCTTAATTTGGATGATACAATAGATAATGAAGGTAAAATTAATGCTTCGATGGCTTGGTTATTGTTTCTATTATTATATATCTATTTCAGGTATGGCAGTAGATGATCAGGAAGGGGAAACTTCAGAACAAGATGATTTGGATAGAAGTGGTGCTCTGGCTGTATCTGGTGGTGAGCAAATGGAATCTGAACAGCCTGATCCTTTGAGCGGACAGGCAAATGCTGATGTTACTTTGGTAAATATATAATAACATATTTTATTATTTTAAATATAATTTATATGTTATATTGAGTAAACTTCCAATTTGTATAGGAGGAAAGTGATGTTGAATTAGATTTATTGGTCGAAGCTGACACTGAGTCTGAAAGTGATGATAATCATAGTAATCAGGATGCACAATCTGCACAACGCAGTGTTCAAACTGGTGCTACTGCAGGATCCGATACAGGTTATTTGTGATTATATATAATATGCTATAATAACTATATATACTATAGAGATTATGATTTTTACTTTTCATTTGTAATAGATGAATCAGGTGAATCTTCACAACCAGAAGAAGAAGGAAGTGAAAATGGTGATACAGACGAATTGAGCACAGCTGAGACAATAGCCAATGATGAATTGTTGGAGCGTAGAATGTCAGTATGATAATTTTTGATATATCAAATTATTTTAGATATTTTTGATACAATAACATAAACTTGCAGTACCGGAACTGGGCATTTACATCGTAACAACTTAGCTCCTCAGAGTATGCAATGGGCTATAAGGAGTCGCGAAAACAACAGGTATATACACAGAGAATTATTCTATTCAGATATAAATTTCATTTTACTCTTACAAACACTGCTGTTATATGTTACCAGCAGCCTAATGTAATCATCTTCTCTTTGTGAAATGTAAAAAAATTAAATTTTTATGTATATAGCAGAGTATATATTACTTTTTTTTTTCATTTTAATAGGGCATCAGGTGGAGTACGTTTATCTACTGGTTCAAATCTTGTGTTTATTGATTCAAGTTCGTTGCGTAGAACTGCTGCAGCTACTGCAGCTGTTGCTGCCGCTAATCATCAAGAACCGCATACAATGGCCACAACTGCCAGTTGTTTGGCTAGAGGATTCGGTATTGTTGTTGAACTTTTATTAGTATATTAGTAACATAGTATATAAAGTAATATTTTAAAATAACCTTCAACAAGTTAATTTTTTTAGGTATTGTTATCCGCCAAATAGCCGAACTTTTAGCTGCATTGCATGATTATTCACATGTAGGCTTACTTCATAAATCTCTTGAAGTTTCATTTGATGAAATTATGAAACTACAGGTAAATATATCAAATAACAGGATATTAATTTAACTAACAATGAAATTATATTTTTTTAAATGAAATTTTGGCAGATGTACTTGGAATATCGTTTACGGGGGACATGGGAATGGCTTTTGACTGTAATGGATGCTACTGAAGCTCAATTGAGGTTCGGAGCCTCTTTAACTCATGCAGCTGATCCTGCCCACCCTGGTCATCCATTGCATGCCCCCTCAGTTGGAGGAGCGGTTCCAGGAACAGCAGGATCACAGGTTCAATTCAACAAAGATTTTATTGTGAAAATTATTTGCATTTTCCATTGATGTATTGCCCTGATATTGTCTCACAAGTTACAAATATCAAACATACTATAAAATATTTTAACTTGAATAAGTTTTCATTTAATTTTATTAAATAATTTTCAATTCAAATTTTATCCAATAATTTTCAATTCAAATTTAGATCAAATACTCTGTTTCATGCATCATCTGATTCTGATTTGAATCATATGTATTTACCATTTGTGATTTTAACAAATGTCATCTGTATCTTGAGTTCCCAATTCCCAATTCTGATTTGAATCCAAAAGATCTAAATCCAAATCACGGAAATTGCTAAAACCTGATTGAATAGTATATGGTTTAACAAAAGATACAATTTATCACTGTAGAAAACTGTAGGAAATGGTTGCATATTTGGGCTCATGTACTTAAATTGATTAAAATATCCTCTGAAAATTCTGTTAAGTATTAATACTAGATATTGATGAATTTATTTTTCAAAGCCAAAATATTTCTATAATAATATAATAGATTCCACATTTTTAAGTTTGGTTTCCTAGGTTAATTCAATCATTTCAATTTAATCCATTTTTTTTTAACTATCTAGTGATTCTGCTTATGAATGTAATGACAAATTTGCACCAATATGATAATGATATTTATTATAGTGAAGAACTGAAAAATATCACCCAGCAATTAATTAATGTTGAAAAATGCAATTGTTAATGTGGTGGTTGTGAACATCATGTTCACAACCACCTTGCAATGCTAAATTGTTTACAACTTTTTAATTTTTATGTTTACAATAAACATATAGTATACTATTTTAAACATCTACTGTTGCAAATCTGCTTTCATTATCACTTATTTCTTACAATGTATGAAAGTTTTAAATTTATTGTTTGCAACATATTCTCTGTGTTTGTTTTCTTTTTTAAGTTCTGCATAGTTCTTAATCACTTATTATATATCAACTTTTAAATGTAATTTTCAGTCTGGTGCAACATTGGGAATGGTAAATGCAATTGGATCAGGAAATCCATCCTCATCTTCAGCAGGGGCTAGTAGAGTGTCACGTGGCGGCGGAGGTGGCGGTAGCGGGGGCGGTGGACAAGCAGGAAACGCGGGAAGTGCTGTTGGTCCTCGTCTAGTTGGTTTCGGGTCATCCACAGAAACATCCAGGGGTCGTGGGGCTGATCGAGATGGTACATATTCAATAATAATAAATTTTGATTCAAAAATTCTATAATGATTACTCACCAATGGCAAATTCTATTTAAAAATTGAAAATTTTGTTCACATTTATTTTTATATTGAAAATGAATGTGAACAAACTTGTATGTATATGCCAAAATTAATACTTTCATTTACCTTGTATTTTCAGCTCGACGTGAGTTTTTGAGTTATTGCTTATCTTTGATGCGTGCTCATAATGCAGAACATCGAGACTCACTACCAGTTTTGGATGTGTCTTCCTTACGCCATGTGGCCTACGTTCTAGATGCTTTAATTTATTTGATGAGAGGTGGCAGCGGCGCTAGCTCAGCAAATGAACCGCAAACATCAGCTGCTAGTCTAGTTGGAGAAAGGGGAGATAGGGAACCGTATTTCTGGCAAATTTCTGATGCTGTATGTAGCTAAACCAAAAAATTTAATAAAACAACTTGTTTTTTATTTTAACTTTACTGGTACTCTAGGATGAAAATGAAAATGATGAGACTGAAGATGAGGCCGGACCGGGTATGGAACCTATGGACACGATAGATGATCAAGACTCGTTGACTAGTGTTCCATATTCTAACAAAACAAGCATTTCTGAGAATAAGGGTCGTAAACATTCATTCTTTCAGGTACAAATCACAATCTGAATGACATAGAAAATATTATTGAATATTATATTGAGTTTGTTTCTCTTTGTTTGGGTAATTGAATGTTGGAATCATATTGGCAATATGAGTTGGCAATTATGAAATATTTTGCAAACTATTGGTTTGAATTCTACTAGACCATAATTTTCTATTCCAGCGCTCAGAATCTACTTTGTGTCTGGGGTGTCCACCACCGGATCCATTTGCTATACCTATGGTAGAAGCACTTCCTTTAGCAGATCAACCACATTTGTTACAGCCCAATGCTAGGAGAGATGATTTATTTGGAATACCAAAAATGCCTATCACTGTACCACCAGCAGGTATTCATAACAATTTTGCACTTACTTAGTATAACATTAATGGCGCTATAATGCATATTTTTTCAGCTTATGTAAAAGTAATTTTATATAGTAAGCAGCACTACCCATTATTATTATTATTATTATATATTAAGTGCTTGAAATTTTTGTACTAAATTCAATTTTAGCAAATTCTATATTATTAGTGTAAAATTTCTAATGCCGAATTCTTGTAATATGAAATTTCATTGATATATTCAAATACTTGCTTCAAATTTTTTTGCAGAATCTGCTCCTCCTGGCACTTACAACCCATTAGAAATGCTTCCAACTCAATTGGGTTTATCATTACGAGGTTCCAACTCTTCAATGAATGTAGGAGTAAATAATGCAGCTTACCATGGTCAATCAATGTCAAACAATGTAAATAATAAGCATCAAGATGACACAGATGATGATGACGACGATGATGATGATGATGATGACGACGAAGATGATGAGGAAGATGCAGAAGAAAATGAAGTAGATATTAAACCTGACTTGGCGGATGTTACTAATACTGAAATGATACCAATAAAGCAAGAGAATATCACTGAAAAGATGGAAACCACAGGTTAGGCATATGTTTATTATGAGTAAATAAATTTTAATCTTATTTTCGCCTAAAATTTGTCAAATTAGTGATAATCTCTGCATTTAGAAAGATCTTTATGTTATAATATTTTGTACTGAAAAGGATAAATTTATGCTGTAGTTTGAAGCTGATTTAGTCATGAAAAATATGATATATAAAGCTATTTTTTTAAAATAGATTCTACAAACCAAACGACCATACCAGATTTGGAAAATTCAGATGCTCAGTCTCACAGCAATTTTGATACATTTGCTAAGAATAAAAAATCAGAAGGTAATCAAGTTTTTCTATTACTTTTATCTAATAAAATTATCATTAATAAATAAATCAAATTTACAGCTTCAGAAGAACCACAAGATTTGTCATGCTCAAAAGATGTTCCCAATACAAGTGAGTGAATAAATATATTTATATATTTCTATATTGACACATTAAAACATGACATTTTGCAAATATGGTTTTCTTCTATAAAAATACAGATTTGATTTAACTCAAAAATAAATTTATTGCTAAGAATTCAGCATCAGACATAGTAATATAGCATTACACCTAGTAAAATAAATAATTCTTACCATTGAATTCAATTTTGTTATACTTTGACTCAGATCTGCAAGATTCAAACTCCTCTGATGTTGCTGGCCCAAGCGGACAATCTCCTACTTCAAGTAAGTTTTTGAATCTTATCTTTAATATTTGGAATAGCAATTCATATTTATTTACAGGAAATGTTAAAACAGTGCGTCCTCAAATTATTGTAACACCGCGAAAAGTAGCAGCTGCTTTGCAAGCGGCAACTGCTAAGGTTCTTGCTGATGCTAACAAGAAGAGTCTTTCAGAACTCACAGGAGACAGTCCTGATGTCACTGTATTACCCACTAATTTTAGCGTCTTTGATCTTGGTAAGCATGACAAACTAGTATAGAAATTTATTTCTTTGGTCTTAGTTGCCCAAGCTCTAAAGGTACAATTTTATGTTCTGCACTTTTGAAAAAAGAAAATTACAATGTTGCTAATGTAATAAAGTTTTAGTTACACCAATTATCTAATAAAAAAAATATAATAGATATGTGCTTATTTTTTCAGGAAATTCAGATCAAACAAATGATAGTAATGCCTCTTGCAGTAGATCGCCAACCAAAAGTGTTATTGTTAGAGCTGGACCTTCAGTAAGTATTTTTTACTGTAAAAAAATATTTTGTAAGTAGTAGTAATTCAGTTTTTCTGTTCTAGGTGGGCACTGGAGACAATCCACTTCCAGATCCAATGGAAACACAAGAAATTTCAGCTCATGTTACTGTTGAAACAACTCCTTCTGTTAATGTTAATGTCAAACCTCCAATTCCAAGGTAAGTTTTTTCAGAAAATTTAATTGCTATTTTATTTTATAAACAATGTTTTAATGAATTTTATTATTATCAAGGCCATACCCATCTATTGGTCCTATGGTGTCTCATGATCTATTACTGGGTCGTTGGCGTCTGTCATTAGACCTATTTGGTCGTGTTTTTATGGAAGATGTTGGTTTAGAGCCTGGATCGGTTGTAGCTGAACTTGGTGGATTTCCAGTAAAAGAAGCTAAATTCAGAAGGGATATGGAGAAGTTGCGAAATGCTCAGCAAAATGATTTAACTTTTTTGAAGGTAATGATTGTTTATTTTAATGAATGTGTTGTATTTCTCTAAGATGATGTAACTAAGATATAACGTTCAATGAATATTTGGCTGAATATTAAGCACTTATTATATTAAGTTATAAGAAGATAATTGATAAAAAAAATCAGTTAATTATGTTGTATACATTTTTATATTTTTATTATAATTGTTTAAGTATTTATTATTGTTATGATACATAACATAGATACATAACAAACTTCTATAAGAGAAGCATACCTTAGAAAAATTGGATGTATGTGTGTGTGTGCGTGTTCGGATACAAATTTTCGTCGACGATTTCGGGAACACGGATGAAGCAATTTGATTAATTCAAAAAACATTCAATTCGTATTGATAAAGAGACGGCTGATTAGTTTTTAGCGAAGGCAAGTCTAGCCGTTCCGAAGATATGGAGCAAAAAGTGTCAAAAACGGTAACTCAGTTTTTAAGAGAACGGAGCGTCCGATTTGAAGAATTCAAAAAACATTTTACTTGTATTAACAAGATGAAGAACTGATCAAATTTTCATGAAGGCAAGTCTAGCGGTTTTGGAGATTCAGTAAAAAAAGTAAAAAAAAGCCATCTGGCGGTCAAAAATGATCATTAGATATATGCACATCAAATTATCAGTTATTTTATAGAGATTTTAACAATAAGTATAAATTTTGTTTACATTCTTATGGGTTCCGTACCAATGCTTATTCGTTAGACGGCGGCGCGGCGCTTACGGTTCTCCGATATTTCGTCTCTATGCTGCAGTTAAAGCAGGACGATTGCTTTGAAAAAAAGTTCAGAATTTCCAAAATATTTCAAAATACACTTTTCTTCAAAGTCTTTTTTTTTCAAAAAAAAATTAAATTTTTGTCAAAAATTTATAGTTTCTCAAAAATCTAATTTTTCAGAGTAAATTTTTTTCAAAAATGTTAATCTTTTAAAAAATAATATTTTTTGGTACGGGAAGTTCCAGAAATTTGCTTTAAGGCACGATGCCATGCGCCCCACTAGTTAACTGTTTATTTCGAAAATGAAGTTTTTGCTTTCACTAAAAACTAAGCTTTGCAATTTCCAATTGATATTTTTCAAACACATTCATAATATCTGTTAATATATTAATTATAGTGCACAAACACGTGCTTGTATGCTTTAAAAGCGCCTTTTATGCCAAATTTCGTTGGACTGTTGAGAACATGAACTTTATCACTATGTTAAATTTTATTAAAAATCCCAAAACATTTTTTTTAAAGAAACTTAACAAATTATTTTTTGGCTATATGATAATACTGGCATGGTTACCTGTATCAAGTACATACATAGTCTTTCATATTATTTAATCAATGAAATTAGTGATAACATTTTCTATACAACTAGACAGGTTTTGTAGACTGATTGTTTCTTGACACAGATATAAAGATTCTATTATGATTATATAATAATTTCTATGGACAATGCACAAATTCCATAACTTGAGATAGTAAGATCGGAAAAACGGTTACAAGAAAAAAAGTTTTTAAAATTAAGCCACTTGTCGTAGGGTCGTAAAATTTTAGTATGTTTAGTTCCATGATCTTTATCATCAGGAAAGAAATCATCAAAATCGTCCAATTTTCTTTTCATAAAGAATCGGCCTATGTTTGCCAAATACTAATAAAAGCGATTTCCAACTCTTACCTTTGTAACAATTGATGCATTTTTAAAATCGATTCAGAATTGTGAACAAAAACGTGGACGATTTTTAAAAGAAAACTAATGATTATGCAAACACTTGCACATGCTAGACACGCCTATACATTGTACTATTCATCGAAATTGTCGCAAATTTATCGTCTAATTAAGTTTTTGAAGGTAAAATCATTGGAATAGTTTGGCTATTCGCTCAAAGGTTTCGTCGAATGTTTGGTGCCGAATGTACTATTTGTTGCAAGCCTAATATAATATTTGCGTATACAAATAATAGAAATATCGCAGAACATATGATATTACTCTCATTATTAATCATTTATTAAACTATGAATGTATTATACAAATATTTCACACACAAGTTTCTGGTAAAATTTTAATAATCTAAAAATAATTATTTTTAAAATCATTCAGATGGAAAGAGATAGAAATCAACTGTTATTGAAAGCATTTAAAGAACTCAACCAACAAATAAATCATCATCACAGACGTGGCTCATCAGTTCCACCTTTAGCAGTTAATAGAGTTAAAGTGACATTTAAAGATGAACCAGGTGAAGGAAGTGGTGTTGCACGTAGTTTTTATACTTCTATTGCCGAAGTAAGTAATTTGTTATCTCTTTTTTATTATTTCTATGCTATTCAAAATCGTTTTCATTCTTATGATTTTGTGAAATTTAATAATGTTTCAGGCTATATTATCAAATGAAAAACTGCCAAATTTAGAACCAGCACAAGTAGGAAGTAAATTCAATCAATTCAACATGCTTAGAGTGCGAGGCACTCCTCCAGTTACCCCTAGAGAACAACACCGCAATGCTGGTTCATCTAGTATGCGCACTAGCGGGGGCGCTTCAGGCCATCATCACCATAGGCTTACTTGGAGAAGCAGAGATGTCAGAAAAGCATTAAACGTTGATGCTACACCATTCAATCCAGGACCACAACTTCTAGAAAGTTTGAATTGTAAGTGTTTCAACAAAGTACATGCTATTGTTTGAAATAAGTTTAATAATTATGATAATTTTATATTTAACATTTGTGACTGTACATAATAATATATTAATTAATGCATAGCTAATAATTAATATTTTTTATAATATAATATAACAAATCACAGATGTAGCAGAAATGCCAATTAAAAGAGTAGAAAAATTAGTATTTATATATTTTATTTTTTTTATAGCTGCACCATCCAGTAGTTCCACATATGCACCGTTGACAGTCCCTCTAGTACCATCACAAATGGGCAATATTTACAATGATCATTTAACGCATCATCAACAACAATTAGGAGAAAGGCTTTATCCAAGGGTATATTATAATACATACTTTTAGCTCAAGTTCTAGTCTTATTCATATTATTTACTCTTGCTTTATAGATATATGCACTACATCCAGGAATGGCTGCAAAAATAACTGGAATGCTCTTAGAATTAGGATCTACACAATTATTAATTCTTTTAGCATCTGATGAATCTTTAAGGCAACGAACCTCGGAAGCTGTAGAACTAATATTATCTCAAGCTCATCATCAAAGTGATACTATAAGTAAGTTTATTTTTTTGTCAATATAGCTTGTGCAAATCTTACAGTGTTTTAAACTAATAATATTTTAACAGGTAACTTAGTGCCGACAATTCCACGTAAAACTATTATTGATGAACCACTGGAAGATAATGGTCCCTTGTTCTATATGCCTGGAAAACGTGGCATATATAGTCCTAGACAAGGCAGAGCAAGTAATGAAAGAATTAATGCTTTTAGAAATGTTGGAAGGTAATTTGTATTTATTAATATGTTTGTACAGTACAATAATAATAATGATCTGTCTGGAGGCAGTCGTTAATCCCTTGTTCATTATTGAACAAAGTATCTGTTTTTTCTAATCTATGCCAATGTGTGAATAACAAGGTTTACAAACCTAGGCTATTTTTATGTAGTCATCAACCCCTAAATTGTACCTCAAAGTTATCAAGTTACCCTCCTATACAAGTGCCATTAACTTTTAATTATACAATGCATTGTCTTTTAGTTGCTCAAATTTTCATTTTTTTTTCTAGATTTATTGGCCTGTGTCTGTTACAAAATGAACTGTTCCCACTGTTTTTATCGAGGCATGTACTGAAATCTATACTGGGCAGAACTGTTAGATTTCATGATTTGGCTTTCTTTGATCCAGTTATATATGAGTCTTTGCGACAATTAGTGGTTGATGCAGAAACAAAGGAATCATCGAACAGTCTCTTTAGTGCTTTAGATTTAACTTTCAGGTATACTATGATTATTTATTTGAGTACATTTTTCTTTCACATTTGACTGTTTAAAGTGTCACCAGAAATTACGACAAATACTCATGCGACAATTTATATTTATTTTTGGTGACATGCTTATATTTGGACAAATTATATAATAATATAAATTTTACATGACATAAAATAAAATGTCACCATGGTTAAATACTATTCAATAAAGCATTATATAATGATGTAATGAATCCGATTTTGCAGCATTGACCTGTGCATTGAGGAGGGCGGAGGAAATGTTGAGTTGACTCCAGGTGGCCGAGACTTAGAGGTGACTGCAACCAATGTTTATGATTATGTCAGAAAATATGCTGAGTATAGAATGATCAGATCACAAGAAAAGGCTATTGAAGCTATTCGTGTTGGAGTGTTTGATGTAATACCAGAAACATCTTTGAGTGGATTAACTGCGGAGGATCTTCGCTTACTATTAAATGGTGTAGGAGACATAAATGTTGCAACACTAATTTCATATACCAGCTTCAATGATGAATCTGGAGAGCCCGGTGATCGTTTGTTGAAATTCAAAAGATGGCTCTGGTCTATTGTTGAGAAAATGAATAATATAGAGAGACAAGACTTGGTGAGCACATAATCAAACACAAAAAATACTTTTAAGCATTGTTTGGCATTGCAACCAAAATATTTTTAACACATTTGAGTCAAAATAACAAATTTTTAAAATAAATATAACACCACACCTCTTGCTAAAAGTTAACAGCATTAAACACTTAAACGGCCCAACATATTATTTCTATGACTTTTATTAATATTTTCAGTTACTAAAATAATTACTATATTGATATTCAAACTATTGTGTGCATGCTGCAGTTCATATAACCCATTATTGATTATAAATATGAATTTTCTTAGGTGTATTTTTGGACTGGTTCACCAGCTCTACCTGCATCAGAAGAAGGTTTTCAACCAATGCCCTCTGTGACAATTAGGCCAGCCGGAGATTCTCACTTACCTACTGCTAATACTTGCATATCTCGGCTTTACATTCCTCTGTATAGTAGCAGAGCTGTTCTGAGACACAAATTATTATTGGCCATAAAAACAAAAAATTTCGGTTTTGTTTAATTTATGAAAATTACTTTGTTATACTTATCTTATTGATATATTGAAAAATATTTGACTTTCTAACTTAGATTATTTGAATATTATGAATTATAGAATAAACATATTAGATGTAAATATATTGTGTTAATTTATATTCAGATCTGTGAAAACAAAGTTATAGGTTTAAGTGAGGGAAGGCTGATTAAATGATAATCTTAATATAAAATTCATTGTGTCAAAGGTTAAATAAATGTTTTGTTTCCATACAAACTCAAGTTGGTATTGCAAACATCGAACGACTCGTAAACTTGCAGGAATTTAATATATATTTATATATATATATATATATATATATATATATAACCCTTTTTAAATTTCTCATAAAATTGGAACACACGTTAAGAACTGTTTCAAAAAAAAAAGATTGACATTTCTATCTTAGACTAAAAACAGTAAATACATAGTTTCGACAACAGTTTTCGACAAAAATTATTTGTGTTTGCCATTTGTGATGTTAAAAAATATATATTTTACCACTGTGCACATACTCATGTCATGAATTAATAATGCTTTCATCTGTTGTATTAGGATACAAAATTGTTTTTTTTATTATTATTTTTCTATGAAATTTATTACATATTATTTATTTGGTTCTAATTTTTATAGTTAAATTGATTGCCACTGAATGAAGGCTAAGATGATAGCGGAAACGTATGGATTTTAAATAAATTTTTAACTCTCATACTATTTTTTATTGATGTAACGCCCGACTTTCAAACTCGAATAATATATATATATATATATATATAAAAAAAGCGAGAGGTTTTTCTTCAGATGGTGAAATAATATAATAAAATTGGAATTACTGGATGGATGCCCAAGAAACAATTTTATATATATATATATATATATATATATATATATATATATATACATTTCAAGCAAATCCACTCGCTTCGAACATCTACATGTTAGTAATTTTCATTGTTACAATTTCATTTTTATTTGAAATTTGAAAATCGCGCTGTCGAGACGTCGCATCACTTCGTCTGATTTCGTCTATGGTCGCCTTTGTACACATTTGTACATAGTGACAAGAAATGCGCTGGTTTTTTATTCAAAGTAATAAATAACCTAGAATAAAATTAAATAACACAAAATATGTATTCAATGAGACATTAAATATAAATTTACGTCGACAAGAATATATAGTTTTATATGATTAAAAAATTATATTTTATGAAACATAATGTATATATAGTCATTTTATATTTATTTAGATTTAAAATAATAAAAATACACTACTTTAAACTTTACTTTATATAATACTAAAATGCACTACTTTATACTTTACACTATTATATTATTTAAAGAAATCATACAATATCACTAAGGAAACATTGCAACGTAACTTTGTGAATTAAATTTATACAATACTGAATGAACAGTTAAAAAAATAATCATATATATTAGCTTCTCTGAAGTGAACATAAGTATTTGGTTAATTTTTTAATTTATTATTTAAATAAGTTTGGACATAATAATTTCATTATGAACAAGATTCTATTATCTGCAATAAAACAGGTAATATAAAATTGATCCACTTATAAATATTTTTGACTTTTGTTGGATAATATAATTATATTTAGATACCTCCTGAGTTTCGACTGGATTTAAAAAACACATGTATTGAACATGCATTGTGTTTAAACGATTCTTTAAACTCATTCATCAAGATTATATCATCAAATGATCTTGACATGAAATCTAATGAAAATGTATGTTCATCTAATAAGCCACTAAGCGGCATTCCATTTGCTTTGAAAGATAACTTTTGCACTAAGGTATATATGTTTAGGTAAGTCTTTCTTAATAACTAAAACAAACTAATTATACTTGCTGCGATCTAATATAATTTTAGGGAGTGCATACTACATGTGGATCTAAAATGCTTAAAGATTTTGTACCAATGTATAATGCAACCGTTTATGAGAAACTAATACATGCTGGAGCTGTGTTGATAGGAAAATGTAATATGGATGAATTTGGAATGGGGTCAGTTTTTATCAATTTTGGCTGACGTTTGTATTGTTAGCAGTTTTTTTGAAACATTTTAATATGTCACTGTATTAGATTCAAATTTAAAATGCTAACTATGTAATAGTTTTTGAATATTAGGTCAGGGTGTATAGATTCAATGAATGGTCCAACTCGAAATTGTTGGGGTTATTCATCTGATCGAAGTTCTAGTAATTCAAGAATACCAGGAGGTAGTTCGGGAGGATCAGCTGTTGCTGTTGCATCTGGAGCTTGTTCCTTGTAAGTTTAAAGCAGCAAGTTTATGTACATAAATTTATATTTTTATGCACATCAGTTGCTGATAGTTTTATATACATGAATTTTTATATTTTTAGTGCTTTGGGTTCTGATACTGGTGGCTCCACAAGAAATCCAGCCTCATATTGTGGATTAGTGGGATTAAAACCAACATATGGCTTAGTTTCAAGGTATGGATTAATTCCTTTGGTGAACTCCATGGACGTACCTGGAATATTCACAAGATCTGTGGAAGATTGTGCTATGATATTAAATATCATTGCAGGTATATTTAGAAATTAGAACCAAATTCTAATACTCTTCATACTGTAGTCAAATTTTCATATCAAATAATATTTTTAATTTGAAACTTACAATAAATTTATTATGATATTGAATTACTATCATGATTAAATTGCAATTTAAGTAACTGCTTTTAATATTATATATGATGCCAAATATGAAAATTAGTTTATACTAATTTAATTTATTCTTCACATACGAGTAAATATAAATTTGAATTATAAAAAATAGATAATTTTCATTCAAATATGTTAGGACCAGATGTAATGGATTCCACAACACTCAAAAGACCTTACCAAAATGTTACTCTTTCGCAAGATTTTACTCTGAAGAATGTCAGAGTGGGAATTCCAAAAGAATATTACTGCTCAGAAATGAGCAGTGATGTCACATCAACGTGGACTTATGTTGCTGATATGTTGGAAAAAGCTGGGGCAATTGTGAACCAAGTAATGTAATAAAAATTTAATTTAAAATGCTCAATATAATTTACAAATAACTCATTTTATTTTGAAGGTTTCTATGCCAAATACAAGTTATTCCATAGCTGTATATTCTATATTAAATCAATGTGAAGTCAGTTCAAATATGGCACGTTATGATGGTGTTGAATATGGATTAAGACCTAACGTGGAGTCAATAGAATCAACTGAACAACTATATGCTGAGTCGAGATCTCAAGGATTTAATAATGTTGTTAAAAATCGAATCATAGCTGGAAACTATTTTCTTCTCGATAGGTATAAAGCTACTAGAATGAGTATACATATGTTTAGTTTTTGAACACTTGTGTATAAACAAACGTTTTAGAAATTATGAAAAATATTTTTTAAAAGCGATGAAAGTAAGGCGAATGATAGCAAAAGATTTTGAAGAAATATTTTATGGAAAAGATTCTGTAGATATTTTATTAACACCCACAACTTTGAGTGAAGCACCTACCCTTGATGAATTTATGAAAAAGGAAAATCAAGATCAATGTTCAGTGCAAGATTACTGCACTCAACCTGCAAATATGTCAGGTGCATAGTTAATCTTATTTATGACAAGATTTAATAAATCAATCAATTTATCAATTTTCAACAGGTGTTCCTGCTATTTCAATTCCCATTAAACTGTCGAGCAATTCATTGCCTTTGAGTTTACAATTAATGGGGCCTCACTTAAGTGAAGAGCGGCTTTTAAATATTGCATCATGGATTGAAAAAGAAGTTGATTTTCAAAATAAATACATTGACATACTTATCAAAAATATCAATATAATAAAACAAATTTCAGATTATAAATAGTGAACAGCTACAGCTTTGTGTGCAAAGCAAAGAAGCAATTTAATGTTTTTATTTCTTGAAATATTCAATAAAACATGTTTTGTGATTATACCTCTTCAAAAAGTATTTTCTTAATAATAAGTCAGAAATCTGTCATTCTACTTGTGTGCAGCAAACAAGCAAATACACGTAATTTTTTAAAATAATCAATGGAAATCAAGGTTTTGCATGGCCATACCATATAAAGCAATAGTATATGTTGTACAGAAAGATATATAAATCTTTATAAAGATTTTATAAATATAATCTATATAAAGATATATAACTGGATATATGTTTTATTAACCTTGATCTGTTGATTCATTATAAATATACTGCAAATAATTTTTATTTACATCATAATTGTACAACAAAAGTCATTTTCTCACCTTCGACCTCTGATCCATGCCATATCAGTATTCCACTACATTATTTGAAATGTAGTCTATATTATAAATCCGAATTGAATTCTTTATTTAAAGTAAACATATACTGCCGGCAAGAATTTCAAAGAAACTATAACTTCACAAATATTTCAAACAAACAATTTGAAAACAATAACAAATGAAAATGATTTCATTTAACATTTTCCATGTCATTCATTTAAAGCTTTAATTGTTGTTCAAATGTGTCGATTTAAATATTATTACAGTCTTTCAACGTTACAACTTGAAATATAAAAAAGTAGCAACGGTCAAGATCAAGCGATAGGGTTTTATTTTATTTTGAAATCATGGCAATGTAAACAAGTTTTATTTCAAACATTGGCAACACTTTTTAATAACCAAATTTAATCATGTCATACTATTTGACACATTCTTGTACATTCGCAACAAAAATTAGTTTTTTTAAATTTTAAACGTAAAAAAAACACTATCTGATTATGTCAATAATTTAACCAAATATATCAATAAATAAATTATTTTCAAGTTTTATCAAACAAAAATGCTTTTTGAAGTGACGTTCAGTGGGACAAGGAGATTGCAGTATTTTTGTTACAGGCGACTATCTTTAGGGTTATATAAAACGAATATTCGAGCATTCTCTGTATCAACACATAATTACTATGGTTCAAATCAACATTTGTATCAAAGTTTACCAAACACCGCAAGAAGTATATACTTGTTGAATAAAGATAGCTATAAAACTAATACATTTCTTGGTGGGATTAAGTACTATTCTACGAAGAAAGAGGATGAAGAAGGTAGATCTCCATCTCCATCAAGACCAAAAGAACAACATCATGAATATCACACACAGTTACCTGCGACAGTTGCTGTTCCTGAAGTCTGGCCCCATTTGCCGGTTATCGCTATCAACAGAAATCCTGTATTTCCCAGGTTTCTCAAACTTGTAGAGGTAGTATAAAATTAATTCAAATTAGTATAGTTATTTAATACAAATAAGTATAAAATTAATACAAATCGTGCCATGATCTCCATAGATTACAAATCCAGTTTTAATTGAGCTAGTGAGAAGAAAAGTAAAACTGAATCAACCATATGCAGGAATATTTCTCAAAAAAAATGAAGAGAATGAGTCTGAAGTTGTTCAATCCTTAGATGATATATACCATATTGGTACATTCGCGCAAATTCATGAAATGCAAGATTTGGGAGAAAGATTGCGATTGGTTATAATGGCCCACAGACGTATTAAAATCACTGGGCAATTAATGGATGAAATTATTGAAGTTCCTAAAGGTATTGTAATTTATATTTTATCCGTGATTATTTTGTTTCAGCATTATGATTGGTGGTTTGATTGAAGCTTGTGTGTAAATTCATAATTCCAAACCTTAAAATCCTTATCTATCCCATCAGTGAATTATAGATTTTATCAATAGTACTTAAAATTACAATAATGCAGTTTATGAAGATATCACAAATTGTTTTCTTTGAATTTCAAGGACGTACAATAGTTTACATAAAATGAATAACAACAATATTTAAATGTCATGAATAAAATTGAATATTTAAAATATAATTGTGATATTAGCATAATATATGCAAAATTATTTTAAAGTGCTATTGACTACAATAAACATCAAAGATTTTATTTTGTTGAGTACTGAACTCTTTTTTCAAATCTAACTACGACCAATCAACCAACCACAAAATAATTCAGAAATGAAATTGAAGTTTCCATTATTAAATTCTGAAATAAACGTTAAACTCGACTCTACAACTGAAAATGAAGAATCACGAGCTGAGCAACGCAGAAGAAAACATCAGAGCTCAAGAATAAAGCCTATCGCATCAAGACCTGAGGTTGTTCAAAAGAAAACTGAGGAAGTAGAATCAACAGTAGAAAGTGATAAGAGCAAAACAAAGCAACCTTTACTAATGGTTGAGGTTGAAAATGTGGTTCATAACAAATATCAACAAACAGAAGAAGTTAAAGCCTTAACTCAAGAGGTTATAAAAACTATTAGGGATATTATAAGCTTGAATCAGATGTACAGGTAATTTAAATAATTAAGTTTTGATTTTTTGTTCACATTGAATTATTTTTATAAAATTCTTTATTGTGCCTAAATGCTACTTTTATTAAAATAATTTTGGAAAGAAATGTGAAGTAATGAAAATCTTTTTTTTAAAACATATGTAGTCATATGAAAATTATTTGACTGTATTCACAAATTTATGAAATTTTAGGGAATCCTTACAACAAATGTTGCACCAAGGTCAGCGCGTTGTTGATAATCCAGTATATTTGAGTGATTTAGGTGCAGCTTTAACAGGTGCTGAACCACAGGAACTACAAGCAGTATTGGAAGAATTAGAGGTTTTTATTTATCACTCATAATACAAAACAAGCATGTTGGATGGTTTTCTTTATATTATTCATCTTCACAACAAAAAAAGTGAATCAGAAAAATTAGTACTAAATCAGAATATTAACTAATTTTTTTTTTGTTGGTAAAAATGTTGAAATCAATAATAGATTGCAATTTTAAAGTGTTTAATTTAAAACAATATATACATTTATACATTACATATACATTTCCTTATCTATGAATATATATATATATATATATATATATATATTTATTGCAGATAAACTAATCACATTGTTACTATTACTTGCAGATTCCAAAACGTTTAATGCTATCATTGAAGCTTTTGAAAAAAGAATTTGAATTGTCAAAACTGCAACAAAAAATTGGAAGAGAAGTAGAAGAAAAAGTGAAGCAACAGCATCGAAAGTATATACTACATGAGCAACTGAAAGTTATTAAAAAGGAACTTGGTCTTGAGAAAGATGATAAAGATGCTATAGGTGATAAGTTCAGAGAGAGAATTAAAAACAAAACTGTTCCTACAGCAGTTAGAGAGGTCATTGATGAAGAATTAACAAAATTGACATTCTTGGAATCCCACAGCTCTGAATTTAAGTGAGTTTAATTTATAAAACATATTTCAAGAGTCAGCTTTAATATGCAGGGTTTTATGTTTTCTATTTTTTTTTACTCATAGAACATTTAAATATTTCAAGAAACACTAAAAGCTTAATATTGATTTTCTGTACTTTAATTTTTTACTTTAATTAGCATTTCTAAAAGATTCAATAAATCCTTTAGATTTTGTTTTACCAGATTCATGCTTTATTTTACTCTACGTTTTGGAAAAAATAATATCCAAAATTCTTTTTTATTAACAGTGTAACACGGAATTATTTAGACTGGCTAACCTCTCTCCCATGGGGATTGACAAGTAAGGAAAACTTAAATATTGAGCGAGCTGTTGGAATTCTGGATGAGGACCATTATGGTATGGAAGACATTAAGAAAAGAGTTCTAGAATTTATTGCAGTTAGTCAATTAAAAGGAAGTACTCAGGGCAAAATTCTTTGCTTTTATGGTCCTCCTGGTGTTGGAAAAACTAGCATAGGTATATCATTTCATTTCATATTGATTAATAAATAGAGATTATAACTTTATTATTATACAATATCATTCTTACTTTTAATTTTACATTTATAAATGTATTTACAATTCAATTATTTTTTAGCTCGTTCAATTGCTCGTGCTTTAAATAGGGAATATTTCCGTTTTTCTGTTGGAGGAATGACTGATGTAGCAGAAATCAAAGGACACAGGCGAACTTATGTAGGTGCAATGCCTGGAAAAGTAATTCAATGCTTGAAAAAAACCAAAACGGAAAATCCTTTGATATTGATTGATGAAGTTGATAAGATTGGGAAGTGAGTTATGAGTATTTACATATATCTGAAAAAAAATTTAATACCCATCCGGCGAAATAAAAAAAATAAGAAAAAATAATTTTCTTCATTATATGTTTCTACACTTGAAACACCAAAATTATTGGAAAGAGGAGAATTATATTATTTTTTATTTCAAAGAGTGAGCTGTTAAAAAAATTCCAAATATGTTTCATTACAACATTTGCATATATATATATATATATATATATATATATATATATATTATATGTAAATAATATGTGTGTATGTGTGTTAAATTTTCAGGGGGTATCAAGGTGATCCATCATCAGCATTACTAGAAATGTTGGATCCAGAACAAAATTCCAACTTTTTAGATCATTATCTAGATGTGCCAGTCGATTTATCTAGGGTTCTATTTATTTGCACTGCAAATGTGATTGAAACAATTCCTGAACCTCTAAGAGATCGTATGGAAATGATAGATATGTCAGGTGAATAGTTTTAGATTTTATTTCTTGTATTCACTACTCATATAATTTAAGTATGTTTGAGATTAATATCTATAGTATTTATATAATTAATTTTGTGATTTTCAATTAAACATTTCACTAATGGCTTATGTAAGTTACTACTAGCATAAACCAGAAAATTTTTAAAAGTGGTGATAAATTATTTATAAATAATTTAGTATTTGCTTCTTTATATTATAATAACATTTTTATATTATAAAATTAGGCTATGTTGCTGAGGAGAAATTAGCTATAGCAAAACAATATTTACTTCCCCAAGCAATGAAAGATTCAGGTCTAAAGGATACGCAAATAACATTAGAAGATGGTTCTTTAACAGCTTTGATAAAGAATTATTGCCGTGAATCTGGAGTCAGAAATCTACAGAAACATATTGAAAAGGTAATTTGCACTGTACAAAGTATATCTTTGCTTCATTTTGTTCAAATTGAAATTCACAATAGGTTGTTAGAAAAGTGGCTTACAAAGTTGTTAAGAAAGAAGCGGAGCAGATTAGTGTTAGCTCAGAAAATTTAAGTGACTTTGTGGGAAAGCCTGTTTTTACACATGATCGAATGTATGATACAACTCCACCAGGGGTTGTTATGGGTTTAGCCTGGACGGCAATGGGTAAGGATATTATACTCAATTTTATTAACTATTTATTTTAGATTTTTCATACAAATTGTTTTAATTATGGCCAACAGCGTTAGAACATTATACATAAATACTTATTACTGTATGTGAATGTGAATGATGCATAATTTCGGCAAAAGGTATTAGAAAAATTGTAGGGTATGAAAAATAATTATGAAGATAAAAATAGTGATAATAATAAAGATAATAATTACATAAAAATAATGAATCAATTTTTAAAGAGTTATATTACACAGGTGAAAAATTATGAGTTTTTTTTAATGAAATCACAATGTTAATTCTTCTTTAGCTATTATATAATTATATTGATTATATTTCTAAGTAACAATTTTTTTGTAACTTAATACATTTTTATAATTGCCATTTAGAATGATAGTTATTAGAATTTTACTCATTGTATATTATGGTATGTTGGATAACTTCCTCTGCCTATTAAATTTTTTGGCTGAAGGTTTTTGAATCATAGTTTTACATTTAATTTGTATGAATTAGGTGGCACAACATTATTCATTGAGACTGCTCCACGGAGGTTTGATGCTGGAACCAGAGTGTCTCTAGATGGCAAAGCACCTGGTGAAGGAACTTTGGAGGTTACAGGGCACCTAGGGAATGTTATGAAAGAATCCGCACGAATTGCACTCACAGTTGCCCGAAATTTCATGAATAGGATTGATTCCACAAATCAATTTTTAAACATCAGGTTCAACATTCACTATTAACCATTATACACTACACTAATTCTAACATAAATCATAAATAATTTAGTAGTACCAAAACATATTTATTTATACATAAGTATGTATATATATTTTGAATATTATTTCATATTTTATTATTTTATTAAAGTTTAATAGTTGTTTTTTTTTTCATAATTGACCAAAATTCAATTCTTTGTTTTCATAAATGTAAGAATTTGTTCTTTGCTATTATTTATATAGTTTCTGTTCAAATGAAACTCAAAATTTTTTTTCCAGTCACCTACATTTACATGTGCCTGAAGGCGCTACTCCAAAAGACGGCCCCAGTGCAGGTTGTACAATAGTAACAGCTCTACTTTCATTGGCCAAAGGTAAACCAGTCCGACAAGATCTTGCAATGACTGGTGAGGTTTCATTGATGGGAAAGGTACTTCCTGTTGGTGGCATTAAAGAAAAAACGATTGCGGTATGTATTTTCTTGTTTCAAACCATAATATGTACAAAAGTGCAACTTATTTGAATTGAATTCTTATCAATATATTCCTATCAAATATTAATAAGATAATATGACAAAACTCTCACCTCAAAACCCGAGAACAATTTTAGAAAATTAAAAATATGCTATGTATTTTTTTTTTTTCTGCAGGCAAAACGGGTTGGAGTGAAATGCATAATATTACCAGAGGAAAATAAAAAAGACTATACAGATTTGCCAAAGTTTATAACCAATGGATTAGAAGTACATTTTGTAAGTACTTACGAAGACATATATAAAATAGTATTTGAGGAGTCACTTCCAGAATCGACAAGTACAACACAACCTTTTCAACAACCTACACTCAATCTTTCACCACCACCTAAAGCAAAAATTGTGTGAGATTGTGCAGTTATAATATTGCATTATTATTCAATTATTTTTGTAGATTTGTTTATATTAATTTAAGAAAAAAAAATCGGTTCTACTATGTTTTGCCCATACTTATAAATTTTATATTATTCTGTATGTAGAAAGTAATTGTGTTGTTATAGCAAGTCATGATGCAATCGTGTACTTGAAGTATGTTATGAAGTTAAAAACTTACATAAAATTTAATTATATGCTGAAAACATGTTTGAAAAGTCATTTTTATATGAGTAGGTGAAACGCTTTAGATAATAAAATACTTTATTTAATAAAGAACTTTCTTTTATTTTTCCATTGTTGATAATTTGTCTTGTAAGTCTTGTAATAACCCTGAGGCACCAATTCTAAATAGCTTGGGTGTCAACCATGATTCCCCCAATTCTGATTTTACAAGTTGAAACCAAGATAAAGCATCATGTACAGTTCGAATGCCACCAGCTGGTTTAAGTCCAACCTATGGTTTATTACATATATATATATATATATATATATATATATATATATATATATATATATTAATTTTGGAATACATTTGTTATATATATATATATATATATATATATATATAAATTGCTAATATTTGCTATATTTACCTTTATGCCTGTTTTCTTATAAAAGTCTTTGATTGCCCTGCACATTACATACCCAAAATAGAGAGTCGCATTAATGTTTTCTTTACCAGTAGATGTTTTTATAAAATCAGATCCAGCCATCATTGCTATCATAGATGCTTTATAAACCTTTAGTAAACTTTGTAAATTAATTTCATAATTCATTGCATCTGAAATTTAATAATTTATTGAGCAATTCTCACATCATTATAATTTCTCAATTCTCCAACAGCTAAAATAGTTTTCATGCAAGCTTTTCCTTGACAAACGTTTTTCATAGCTTTCACTTCATTGAATAACTGTTCCCATTGCTCAGTGATTACTAAACTACGATCAATTACAATATCTATTTCATTAGCACCATATTCTAAACAGCATTCAATTTCTAATAATCTACTTTTCAATGGATATTGTCCAGATGGAAAACCAGCTGCAACTGATTGTTTGAAATAATATTTATATAAATTTAGTATTAGTATGTTATAATAAAATTTCTGAAAACTGGCAATTGGGGAAATTTGAAAAAATGGTAATATTTACAAAATGAAAAGCAAATACAGATATAAGTACTTTTAATGAAACTGCCAATTTTCATAAATATTTTTAAAAATAGAATTTAGATGATTGAAAACTATAAATTAATTTGAATAGTATACCAAATTACTAATTGTAAGTACAATTAAAGAATAATTTCAACATTCTGTTATATGTATAAAAATGTATTACCAGAAGCTGTTTTTATACTATCATATTTGTTGGCAGATTTTAAATAATTTACAACATCAGTAACTCGAGATGGATATACACAAATAGCAGCTGTATGTAATGAAGAGTTATCAACTGAACATCCCTTAGATAAGAGTTTTGCATGTAAATCATTGTTGATTGGTTCAATAGCCTATAAAAGATAACTACCCTTCAACTTTGAATACTAGATTATATGAAAATTATTTGAAAAGGTTTACTTAGACTGACTTAGACACTAGTTTTCTCTATTTACCTTTTTACAAAGATTCTCTACTACTTTCTGGGTGTCATTAGCATTTAATGTTGTTAAATCTATATGCTTAATTACTTCAATCAATGAACAAACTGTAATTTCGCTATTTGGAACATCTTTTATCTCCTTAACTTTATTTTCCACATCATTGTTATTGATAGTGATGTTTTCAAAATAAGCAGAATCTATTAAATTAAAAATAGGAAAAATCTAATTATATGATTACAAATTACAATACAGTACAATTGCAAAAAAAAGAAACTCTTGTATATTTACCAAAAATGATAGGCATATCTATAAATTTATAATATATGTTTAAACTGTGATATTGAAATTAGACTTGTTACATAAATAAAGTCATTTATATGTATGATTGTTTACAAGAACGTGGCAGATTAAACATCGAATATAGATAAGATATGTCAGTGTCTTAATTTATATTTTAATGTGTCTTTTAATAATGTACGAGGTATTATTATATTGTCTATGTCAATGTACAAGGTATTATTATATTGTCTAGGGTATATGAATATCCATAAAAATGTTATGGTTATGGGGAAATATTATGGTTTTACTTCTATTTTAACTTTTAGTAAACCATTCCAAGTAATTTATGAATGACAAACGTTCACTCATTTTTACAACAAAACTGCTGCCAACCTAAACATTTGTCAAACAATGTTTGAATTTGAAAAAACTGTCATCGACAGGAGAATTTGAAGTGAAACTCTTGAACAATTAAAAATATTAGAAACAAAATATATTTGTTGTGCTTGCCTTTCGTTAATATCAGTTTCTTTAATCTAGAATCGAAAGCCAAATATTATTTTGTCTAGGGCGTATAATTTCATGTTGGTATTTTTGTTTTTGTGAAATGTCAATTAAACGTCAAACATCGTGAATGTTATTCATTCTCTCTATGGATTATAGAAAATGGAGTGGTATTTTAGCTCATATTAAATAAAAACTATTACTATAGTGCTATATGAAATTAAATGTTTGTCATAAATTTCGCAATGCTTTAAAAGCGCTTTAATATCCGTCAAATTATAAACAACATGGCGGATGTTAAAAATTCCAATGAAACAACAAATTCTTCGAAACTAAATAATCGTAATAGTAGCAAATCGAATTCAAATGGACCACGGGCGATCACTATTTGCAAAACTGAAACAGGATTTGGTTTCAATGTCCGTGGGCAAGTGTCCGAAGGTGGACAGTTGCGTTCAATAAATGGGGAGTTATATGCACCTTTACAGCATGTGAGTGCTGTCTTAGATCAAGGGGCCGCAGAACTAGCTGGAATTCGAAAAGGGGATCGTATATTAGAAGTGTAAGATCATGATATGTTACTGATTAGTTGTTTTAGTTTTGAGAGAAATATGATGAAAATATATATTTTTTCTTTGTTCACGCATAATTCAATAGAAAGTATCAAATTAATCTTATTATTTCAATAAATTCTCAGACGAATTAAATTTTCAAATTGTTTATTGTTTTACTCAAGGTAGCAATTGTAATTTTTTATTGCAAGAGTATTATGTCCATGAATTATTATAAAACAATTAATGAAATTAAATGCAGACTTCCAAAAAATTGCTTTATAATAACAGCTATAATGTAATTTATTAAATGTATTATTAGTAAGTTATTCATTAAAATACTAAAGAAAAAGTTGAGTGATTTTCTACAATACATAAAAATGTCTTGCAACAATACTTAAATTTTATTCATTTCATTTATTGTGTATTATAGCTAACTTTTAATTTTCATAAATGCAATATCTATCTTTACAGAAATGGTGTTAGTGTTGAAGGAGCGACACATAAGCAAGTTGTAGACCTAATAAAATCTGGTGGAGACTGTTTAACACTCACTGTAATTTCAGTCTCTCAGCAAGAAGCTGAAAAATTAGAACCTGCTGAAGATACATCTGGATATTCATATATTGACTATACTGAGAAACGATCACTTCCAATTAGGTTTGTTCATTTATAGAATATTGATAATATATTCATTAAAAATATTTTGCTTAGTTATTTTATATTCCAGCATTCCAGATTACCATGTTAGTATTCGTGGTGGTGAAAAGTTTGTATCATTCAACATACACATGGCAGGGAGACATTTATGCTCCAGGAGATATAGGGAATTTGCTAATCTACATTCCAATTTGAAAAAAGAATTCACAGGTAAATAGTATATGTTTTTATAATATTGTCTATGTGATATTCCTCATTTTGTATTTTGTTTCTTGATTACAGGTTTTAATTTTCCAAAATTACCTGGAAAATGGCCATTTCAACTTAGTGAACAACAACTCGATGCAAGAAGAAGAGGTTTAGAGCAATACATTGAGAAGGTAATGAATCAATATACTATTACTAATATATCACTTACTTTTGCTACAAATATCATAACTTTATTGCTAATTTTAAGGTTTGTGCTGTTCGTGTTATTGCGGAATCTGATAATATGCAAGATTTTTTGACTGACTCTGAAGATGATGCACCTGTGTTAGTTGATCTAAAAATTCTTTTACCTGATCATCAAGTAGTTACAGTTGCTGTTAGTAAATCTAGTAGTGCTAGACATGTCTGGAAAATTGTTTGTGATAAAGCACAGCTTTCACAGTTTACACAAAAATATTTTTATTTATTTGAAATAGTGGAATACAATTTTGGTGAGTGTACTATAGGCATATATTTTAGTAAAAGTTTATGTGAATAATGAATATATAAAATTATTATAATATATTACTGCATATAAATATACAAATGCTTCAAAATCTTGCATTTGAGCACATTTAGACATTTAAATCTTTGCAGAGAGAAAATTGCAACCAGATGAAACACCCCACACGTTATATGTACAAAATTACAGTACGGCTTCAAGCACATGTTTAACAATTAGAAAATGGCTATTCTCTATTCGATTAGAGCTAGAAATACCTTCAAATGATCCTGCTTCTTTATACATATACTACCAGGTATATTGTTCATTCAGTTATAGCGTCATTAAAAATTATATAGAATATTTATACTTAAAAAAAATGTTTAGACTGTGGATGAAGTGAATAGAGGTCATGTCAGAGCTGAGGAAAGACTGTATGAATTGAAAGCTTTACAAGACCCAGGAACTAGACGTGAATATTTAGATCTTGCTCGAACATTAAGTGGTTATGGTGAAGTAGTTTTTCCTCATTGTGCTACTGATAGTCGGAAAGATGGCCATGTTATTCCTTCCATAGGTAATTATGCATTGAAATTTTATGTATGACAAAGATAATATATTAAAGATATTATATTATTTTTCTTCTACAATTTAACATTCCTTATTTTCATAATATAATATTTTAAAAGTAGATTTTTTAATTTTGGCATTGTGTTCTGAAGTTTGACCTTATGTTTTATTTAGTAGATCAGATAGTTTTGTTTATGGTCTATTTGGATATATTAAAACTTATTTGTAGTATTTTTGCATAATGATGCTATCACTAAACATTGTGTACATCATTTCAAAAGGAATTATTGTTTGCATCATATTCAAAATCAATAGTTTCAATCAATCAATTTTTAATGATCTGATATAGTCATAGATATCTGCTAATTATTATTAATATTATCTCAATAATTATATACGGTTCTCTGAAAAAGAGAGAGTCTGTGTACAATGTAATCATTAAATATTATTTTGCCTATAAGCACAAACTAATACGAATCTATCATCTGCTCTGTATAGGTGAGAAAAGTTTTCGTTTGACTGCATGCAGTGCAGATGGCCAACCTGAGTCACAAATAGTAGAATTTGCCTGGTCCACAATAATACGCTGGGAAAGCGATGATGAAGCCATGGCTTTTTGTTTAGAATATGATAGAGGTCAGGATAAGGGTACCCGTTGGCTAAAAGTGTTCACACCTTATCACATATACTTAGCTGATTGCTTTGATCGAGTTGCTGAGGAACGCAAAGATTAATTGTGTACCCATCATTATCATATTAAGGAACAAGCCACTTTTAAAGGTACAATTTATTTTTAATTTTATCTACCCTATAAAAATTTATTTGAACATCTAGCCTGAATACAAACAAATATATTTTGAACATTTAGCATATATATATATATATATATATATATATATATATATATTTATGTGTATATATATGTATATATATATATACTTTTACATCGGTTATGAATAGATGTACAAAAAGTACATAAAGCAATAGCTACTGATGGAATTATTCTACTTTATCAAGAACTAAATTGATTTGGGTTGGTCCACTGATTGAATTATCACATATAAAGTGAATATCAAACCTCATAATTCGTGGCATTTTTAAATTCCTAAACTTCTTAAAAGTTAGCACAGTTATTGTAGTTTTTATGTTATTCGTATATTATGTGCAATTTTTAACCACGATATTGGAGAATGCGACAAAGAATGATTTAATTCATGCTTTCATAAAATTGTTTATTTGAATTTTATTACACAGCAAATTCTGCAATAATGTACTTTGTACAACTGATATAGTTATAAGTATATCTGTATTATATAAGGCAATTAAAAAAACTATAGTCTGCCATTTATGTATATAGTATGTTATATCATGAATTATTTGAATCTGTTCAGCAAAATATATTGCATATAATTATTTATACATTTTCAAATAGAATCCAACTAGAATTTTGAGATAAAATTTTGTTTTAAAAACGGTATAACATAAATTTTATTATAGTAAATCTTCAGTATTATTATGAAATCCACAAATTAAAATTGATTGTAATAATAAATTTACTGATATATTGTTAGTTATATATATATATATATATATATATATATAATATATATACTTGTTTTTATATTCATAATCCCCCATTTTTATTCTAAATTTTATTACTTCTGCTGGCAATAAGTTTAATTTTGTGAGAAAAGAAATTTGTGTACGTTTAGTACTTACGAACGCGTTAACAAATTGTTTTATAAGTGATGTAGGTGGAATTCCTACTGATTACGAATTAGGATTTTTTTAAATATATATTCCTATATACAAATTATATTTGTTGCAAGCAAATAATTCTTTATCCCGTAGAATATTATCCTCAGCCCATCCCGGAAGGTATATTTTTATTGTAAGTTTTGCAGAACTTTCATTTATTTTGTTTTAAATTTATCTTTAATTACAATATTTTAATGTTATTTTTTTATAAATGTACTGAGGCAATTATATTATCAGTACTTATTCATAATATTCAGATAGTAATACTTATTTTATTAAGTGTATCTATTTACGGTATAAATATATCACTCTCATAACAGATTTGTTAATGTTCTAGGTGTAAAAATATATAAAAAATATATTCTGTAGATAAGGATTTGAACTTATTTCTTAAATTATATTAATCGAATATTATATATCATACATTAATTGATCTGAGCAGAATACAAACTGGATCTTCTTTGAACTGTAAAGATTATCTGTTAATTTTTTTTTCTTTGTAAAAACACTTGATACTAAAATAATAATTCTAAATTTCTTGCAAATATTTATAAGATACTTGGTTAGGTATTATATCAATTCTAGAAATAGAACAATTAGTGATTAATAAAAGCAAATTTGTGATCATTTTACCTTAAATGGTACTAAAATTATTTATTATTATGATATATTTATTCTTTAGTTTTTCGTCACATAAACGAATATAGTATCAAGATTTTTACATTTTTTATTAAGATATATGTTATGCTATGTTATATTTAATTTTTAACTTGTTCGAAGAAATTGTCATTTTAGTAATGTAATTTCATAAAGTTATGAGTAAAAGTTTGTCATTTGGAAATATGCATATTTATTTAACAAAATTAACTGAAATTTGTATTAAGAGTTCAACGAAGTGGAATATTAAGATTTAGTTATGATCACACTACACTCAATTTTTTGCACAAATTTTATTTTATAAGTTTTGAAACAGTAATGTCCCATCTTCAGTGTAAATTCTTACGCTGGGACATATTCCATGGAATATGCCTAACTCATTTTCGTAATATCATGATTGCACTAGGGAGGAAAAAACAATAATTAAATTAATAAATAGTGAATTTATTTTTATATTCAAAAAACTTAACAAAAACCACAGTGGTTCGACAAATAATGGCATTTCAATATATTTAAATGGGTAAAACTGCTTCGAGATACGAGTGTGGTTACGAAACGAATTAAACTGGTTTGTCGTGATGCCACTGTATATACAAAAATATATCAGTGAATGATATTTTACTTGATTTGAATCAATTGGTATTATGCCCTCCGCTTCCTGTTACAAATAATATTCATTGAAGACTGTTTTATGCTGACGCCATACTAGGAATATCAAAATGAATAATGTCTTTCCAAAACCATTTGTTCTCATAAATCTTATATGGAAGCAACGCATTATATTATGAGTACCTGACGAATGAGACTAAAAAAAATCAATTACAAAATCGGAAAATTAGACGATTGGATCAGGGCACGTTCAAGCCGATTGTACAAGGAATGGCGATCGAAACCAAGACAAAAGAGAGTGATGTTTCTTTTGAATAGAACTTTTTTGTGTGGAATATTTTTGAATTTGTGCATATTTAATGATACCGATATAGAACACTATAAATAGAGTGATTTTTGGTGTATTTAAAACTCTAAGAAAAATGCATTTCTCAGTTGTAACTAGATTTGGAGATGCTCAACTAAAGGTTTTGTGGCCAAGAATAATTTCAAACAAATAATAAATCAGTGATTTGACCAACCTGTGAATAACTTGTGAATTGTATGTTGTTTGCCTTTAGCAATATTTTGAACATTTTCACATGATGTTAATAGAAAGACAACATTCTCATCCAAGATTTCTTTATTAAATAGCATTAATTAATTAGTTTTATCTTTATACATCATCTTTTTACCTAGTTTTGATAGTTTATATATTATAAATATTATTATTATTTAATATTAATATGCTTATGATTAATCATTTAATATTTATCTAAAATTATCTATATTCAGAGAACACTTTGAATTAGATTAATGGAATACTTATTAGCGCAATATAAAATATATAATAAATATATCCAGTCTTTACTTCACATGACATGTTTAAATAAAATACAATACTTCAATAATTCGAATTAAAATGAAAACAAAAATTATTCAATATTTAGTGCAAATTATTTACTTATACGTGCAAACAAGTTTTTAAAAATAACCACAGCATATTTTGCTGCATATACATTTCATAACAAACGATAAAAATTGGAAATTTAACATCTATGTTTGAAATTGAAAACAGCTGAGAAATTATTTTCACATAAAAGTTCTTGATTTGGAAGAAAAAAATATTTGTTTTGATATATTTTGCTCTTTTTCATAGTATAGTTCATTTCCATTCAAATTTCATTAATTTGACAAAATAAAATTCGCATTGATTAACCAGTGGCGAATAGCAAAATCAGTCAACAATTTAATTCAACTAATGTTTTATATGAATTTTATTTTAAAATGTGTATTTTCAAAAACTACACATCATATACTTTTTAATCACAGAATGGATAGACCAATATATCTATACTCGTTCTTCATATGTTCATAGAATAAATGGCTGCATTAACTTGCATGTAAGAAACTTTTGCCAGCACATTATCGATTTTGTGATAATTCAATTTTAAACGCAGTGAATATATTTCATATGAACAAACAGAACATTTATACTTTTACACCAAATATTTTTCTTCTTTAAAATTTCTCTAAAAAGATTATTTTATATTTTTCAAGTCTTAATACATCAGTTTTCAGTCATGATTAATAGTAAGACACTTAAAAACATACATATATACATTTAGAATATTATGCATATTTAAACAAAGTGTAACGACAAAAATAAATATTTGTACTAAGAGAAGTTCATTAAGATGAAATGATTATGATTACACTTTCTATGGCACAAAAATTAATTCGGCCGTAATTTCGTTGCAATCGAAATATAATTATTTTTGCTGGTGAAAATTTGGTGATAATTTAAATTAGAAGGCATAATTACTATCTTCCATATTTAGAAGTATCACCTATGCCATGTACATGAATTTATCATTAATATAGCTTCACTGGTATGAGTTTTATTAAAATTTTGGTAACTATAATTATTCATTTTACAATAAAACTTGAATATAAGAATATTAATTGATTGTTTATTCAAAATTTGGCGCGCGTAGTATTTTATATACTTTTATACTTATGGCGAGTTAATGAAAGCCCCTTTCTCTTATTTAAATAAATCCCAATAAAAAAAACTTTCTTCAAAACAATTTCTTATTCTTATTATACTGTAATGTTTATTTCTGGTAAAGTTTTAATAAATCTTTCAATCGAGTCCCTAGGTTGGGAAATAACATTTAAATTCCTAAAAGATTCTTTATACATTTTATTTGAATTCTTTTTTGAACATTATTTGAAGATCATAAAAGATTGTTTGATTTATATTAAATCAATTTTTTATAAAATTTGGCATTTCATTTGCTTTTAATTAACACATTCATAAATTTTGCTAATACATTATAAATTTATATTATGCCGAAAAAACCTTGTACCAAATTTAGTTCAAAATCAAATCCTTTATGAAATTCACTATTATTTTCACTTAAATTCGAATGTGGAATTTTAATTATCTTGCTGCACTAAACAAAATAATAAAATATTTGTTGTCCAAAAATATTTTAAATCAAATGAGATAATATATTGCTATTAGTCTTATAAATAAATAAATAGTTCGTTGTTTGATATGAATATATATATATATATATATATATATATATATATATATATATATAGTGCACTTCTCATTTACATTATTTACATGATTCATTTCAACTTTATAGTTGCAGTATCTTAGCATGTCCTTAATATCGATCCCATTAGGGAAACTGGAATCCTCTTTAAGTGATTATAAATATAAGATTCCAGCTATACAGCATACGCTATCGTTAATTTATATGCACACACACTATATGTTTATGTATGCAACATAAACTGTGTTCCAATAGGCGGCCGTTATACCAATGACAATCAGATCATATGTATAACAACATCAATATGAAGATTTTTGTAAATACATACGCTTGCTGTAACATATCTTATTTCAAAAGATTTATGGGATATTGGGAACTACAAGTGTGTCAGCATGTGTGATGAATCATGCTTTGACAATCAATCATCTACATCATCATCAATATAATACAATAGGAGTAAACATTCTCTTCATTTGTTGGATAATTACATAATTTTTTATCTTACTTTTAATGCCATTCAATCAGAATCTTCTATGCCGTCATTGACAAGACCAGCAACTTCTGCTGGGCTCAATAAACCAGATCTACGACCATATTCTATGAGCGCTAAATGGCAAAATACATACTGGTCTGGCATTTGTATAGAATGCGCACGTTGAGCTCTTATCCGTTCGACTGTTCCTCGAACGTCCACAGTTCCAACATCTTCTAGTCTCGATAAGCATATATCCAATGTGCAAAATGTTCCTAAAATTTACCACAAAAGTACATATCACCAATGCTTTAAGTATTATTCTTATTAACAATTGATAACTGATATTAGAAATTTTTTAACATTTGGTTTTGCATATTTACTTAATAAATCGTCAACAACGCTAATAAACATTTGTATGTGTGTGTATCGATTCATTCTTAAAATTCAAACCCCATTGCACATTTAAAAAAAGTCTAATATAAATTATTAAAAAATGTGCACGGTCAAATTATAAAGCTCAATTGATTGTAAGGTCGCTTTACGCTGCTACTGTGTTGCATTATATGCAAATGAATTAATCTTTTTTTTTAATTTACCTGTTCTGCCAATACCAGCACTGCAATGCACAACAATTGGTGGAGCAACAGCAAGTCCTTTAACATTTTCCAGCATGTCACGCTGTCTCATTCGCACACCTTCTAGGAAATCTAGCATGGCTGCAGCACTGTCTGGTACACCATAATCTGGCCAAGCTGTAAATTGCCAATGCGATACTGGTCTTTGTTCACCTGTCTAAATGTAAGAATTACTAATTTATATTTAATCTAATCTACTTTTTCTATTAGTCTATTAAGACAAAATAACTTACCCTTGTATCTATTAGCATAAGTTCTGTGACTGTATAACCACGTTTCTCCTCAGTGATTTGTTCAGCAGTGACTGCATAGATCCCATGCTGTTGAGTTTCACCACAAGTTGTTGGCCAATACTGATGACATTTTGTGCGTCCTCTTTCTGCCACTCTAGTTGTCATTACTATGACCAAACATTGCTGTTCCCATACCATGCGCCAAAAATCGCAAACGGTTTTGGGCAAAGGTCCTGAAATAATGAAACTTCTATAAAATTATATTTTTGGAATTAAGTGGTTTTTTGGAATGGTACACAAGAGACATAACAAGAACCAATTGTTTAGGATATTGCGTTCGCCAAATAGTTTTTATAGTCTAACGTCTAAGTACTATATACAATACTAGCAAACCCGACGAACTCCGTTTCGCCACCAGATGGTTTCGTGAGAAAGATGAAGATGAAAGAAATTTTTTGATTGCTTTATATTTGAAAAGGAAAATTTTGATTTTATTATACAACAGTAATGATTTTATTTCGATTACAAAAATTAAGTGTTTTTTAGTTGAACTTCTCTAAGTAAGTGAAAGTGAATCCGCAAATTATCCGTTTCATTGAAGTGCTCTTTGGTCAACCACATTTTTTGTTTTTTGGTCTGACGTTAACACAAATAAAGCGGATGGTTTTCTAACTCGTGAACAGGCAACGTATAACTGCCCATGTGAAAAACAATGATTTTCTAAATAATCTATTTGAAATTTATCCCGCAAACACTAAGCGATTGGTCTTGCAATTTGTTATTGCGAACGCAAGGCGAACTGGAAATTGCAATCGTTTGAAGTCAAACGGAAGACCAGTCGGAATCATTGGTATGTCACCAAATCGCCAGCATTTTTTGATTGAATGGTGAAATTTAGTGCGTGTACATCATTATTCTTTGCGGCCAGAAGTGCTCGTTGACTTAACCAACCATAATTCTGATAATTCTCACTAATGTCATTACTTGAATTTTTAATTACGGTGCGTGAAGTTCCAGCAGCTTGCATTAAGGCACGATGCCATACACAACTAATTTTTTTAGCTATAAACCTTGCGGAGCCCGAGACCTTTCCAACGAATGCAAAATTGTCGAAATCGTATTTCGTCAGGAAGGAAAACCCGACTTATTTTTATATATATAGAAGACTAGCAAACCGGGCGAACTCCGTTTCACCACCAGATGGTTTCATTTTATGTAACATTTTGTTTGGTGATTAAAAGATGAAGAAAAAAATGCCTGCTGTTGAAATTGAATAAAAATTTGCACAATACACGTGATTGATTTGATGGTTTCCAATTGAAATCTAAGGAAACGAATAGCTTTTTTTTTACTTCTTTGCACAATTTCACAGTGAACACAATGCCGGTTTGTCATATGAAATTAACTGAGCAGAGAGCAGAGAACAGTGAGTAGCTGTCAAACAAATGAGTAGCAGCCAAACAAAAAATATTAGTTTGTAGTACATGCTAAGTATCAGAGATGACGCTGTATGTGAAAAAAGAAAAAGTGTTTCCGCTTTTCTGTTGAAATCTTTCTTCAATTTTCTTTGTTATAAACCTCACGGAGCCTGAGAACTTTCCAACGAATGCAAAATCGTCGAAATCGGTTCGTGCGTTCTGGAGTTATTTCGTCAGGAAGGAAAACCCGACTTATTTTTATATAATAGATAATTATAGGCAAAATTAATGAACAACCCTGCTTGTAAAAAATACCTTGTGTGGATATGTAAGCATTTCTCTGTTTGTACCCGTCGACGAAATTAGCGTTAATATAGTCTCCAGTGCAGTGGTTTCCATCTATATTATTGGAAGTATTCAATGCTACTCGTGAATGATCATAGCAAAGAACATCAGTATATCTATTTTTGGCAACATTTGTTTTTGACCTTGCATGTGCGAAACTACCATCAGGAGGCCTAGCCCTAATTTCTGCATATTCTTGTACCAAGCCTGAAATAATAAATCATAAATTGTAAGAATAAAATATTTACGCGACTTTTATCAAGTTTCTTTTTTATTGCACTATTTCTGGTAATGTTAGCGTAAACAATTAAGCATTGCAAATGTGTGTATTTCTGTTATGTGAAGAAAGAAACAGTTTATTTCATATAATAATCAACGTGCTGATCGAAAAATCGAATAATTTAAGCTTTATTAATTCTAACAAGGTTTTTTTCAGTGTTATAATAATTTCACCATTATTCAAGCCAGTCGATTCTACCAACCTTGCCTACCCCGCTCGCGGATGGACTGCGCTAATTGAGACAGTGTCATCGCGTCGACGTCTGTGACACAAACTCCTGGTGCAAGAGAATCATCGTCCGAGAATCCAGAGCTGGCTGAACTGGAGATAGCGTTATCCTCGTCATCCTGCACATGACCATCATCTTCGAGCGCAACCAAAGCTCCGGCAGCAGCGCCATCGACGTGCGCTACACGCTGCTGGTCCAAAACTCGGTGCTCGTCTGATGGATCCAGCCCGTTCTCCGTCACGTGCTTTCGGGAAACGAAGGTCAATAAATAATTTGCATTTAATACAGTGGTACCCGACTTAGAAGGGTTTTAGACGCCAAAGGAGCAGCTTGTTTGCCGCGACATACGTGCAAAATTTGAGATACGAGCTTTGAGCGAGTAAGTTTTATCGAAAAATGGTAATAGCAAAATGACAAAAATATAAAAATTTCATCGGTTGTAGTAATGAATTTTTGCATAGAAATATTTTGTCTGTTTTATGATAGTAAATTATTTTAAAGTTAGTAATTTCAATTAAATATTAATAATAATTGTGTAGTAAAGTTTTACCCACGCGAATATACGAGCATTATTTTAGCTTTTGAAATTATAAATATACATTGATAATGATTGCACAGTTAACCCTCCGTCGGGCGCAATCCAAATACGTACAGAATCGGGCGCAGTGTATCTGACAGATACAGAATTTAAATATATTGACAGGAGGCTTATAGTTTTATATTTTTATTTAATTTGCGTTTTTACAATGCTGAATATGTATATTATGTGTGAACAAGAATAAAATATATATTAGATCAATATTATTTTCAAAATATAGCAAAATATAAAAATCCGTACATGCGCTCAAAATGCTAGACGCACAAACCTTACTTTTTCTGAAATGAATAATTTAATTAATTATATAAAAAAAATTGTCAGATTATGTTGGAACGTTTATACAAAGACTATATAAACAATTAGGATAGTAAAAACTTAGTGTTTTTTGTCATTTTGCACGTCAAATAGAATTTGGCTTAGTGCGTTTTTTTAAACAAAATTGCTACTAGTAAAGTATGCGAAGTTCAAAGACAATGTACTATGGACGAATAAATAGTAGACATAAAATAACGAGGCTACTGAGATATGGAGGTCTCGATGACATCAAATTTTTGAGAAACATGCCAAAGGCCCTGTATCTGTCAGATCTGCTGTTCCCGAAGGAGGTTTAAATATGTTAAGTTCGCGTTTTTTTGATTTTTGTACATTTGCAAAATATTATGTACTTTTTATAACCAAGGATCTAAAGAGGGTTTCAATTAAAGCGCAAAATTATTGAAAAATATGAGGGTTGCGAGGATGTATGAGCTTAACGCGTTACAGATATATACAGTGTTTTAACAGAAGAAGTTGATGAAGGATCTAACTACAAATAAGGGTTTTACAAAGATCAATAAGCAGCTTTCTCAGTTTTAAATGTTTGCGGATAAAAATCAGTCCCAAAAATTTTAACAGTGCGAGCATGGAAGTTGTTCAACGTGTTAGACATGTTCTAACTGATTTTCGCAATATCATGAATGAACAGAAAAAACAATAATTAAATTAAAAAACGGAACAAAAACCTTAGTGCTGGAACGAACTAATGGCGTTTAATTTTATTTATATCGAGCGTGGTTACGGAACGAGCTTAACTCGTATGTCGGGGTACCACTGTATATTGAATAGTGTTTTAAAAACTTCATCCTTTATAAAAATGTAACAATACTTGAAATACCCTTAAATATTCGAAACTTTATGAATTCTAAATTTATATTTTTAGCTTTAACCCTCCGTCGGTCGGCGTGGTCTGGCCAGACTTTTTTCGACTTCAATTTAAAAAAAAATAGTTCTAGTAATCCTATCGACTTGAAATGAAAAAATCAGGACGAAAAAATGTACAGAAGGATAATTATAAGGATATTAACTTTTTTATACTTCGAACGGTCGGAAAGGTCCACTCACACATTTTGTATGAAATATACGCTTTTTGATATATGTAAACCAGTATTTTGTCATTTTTCATGGTATTTTCTATTCAAACTGCGTTGTATATATTCTTTGCTATGTGTTGTAACATGTATGTTAGTATTTTCATGACGAGAGTTCCTTGAAAACCTACCAAACTTATTGGTAATCGCAAACACTGAAAATCGGATGAGTAAATGCACACATTATCAACAATTTTTCTACCCGTACTGCGTTCGAAATTTTTTTGGCGAACCTGTAGTGAAATTATATTTTCATTTTGAGTTTTACAGCTCATTTCAAAGGCGACGCATCTCATTTCGTTTTCATTTGAATTTCACATTTTCACATTTCACATTTTCACACAAAGGCGCCGAAAAAGAATAAATATTGTTTTTCATTGATATAAAACAGAAAAATTAACAAAAAAAGCAACGATTTTTTTATATTTCTTGATTTTTTTATATAATATAATATGTAATATTTTTATTATAAGCAAGCTCAACACATGCAAAAGACGGTAAGAAAAAGAAAAAATCAAAACTATAAATATTTACTACTAATAATCGTTAATATATAAGACACCAAAAACTCATTTATGCCATATAAATGCATGTAAAATGAATGGTGGTCCATCCAAACCTTACCGACCGTTCGAAGGTGAAAAAATATCCGACCGACGGAGAATTAAGTATTACTAGTAAATTTCATTATTTACCTCCAAATATAAAATATTTTTAAGTTATTAAACAATCACATGTAAGTATTGAAAAGGAACTAAATTATGAACTACAGTAGAACTCCAATTATCCGAATTACTGGGGACCGGGACCGATTCGGATAATCAAATATTCGGATTTTTTTTTTTAAAATTGCCATTGGAGAGAAAAAAAGTTACGTTTTGATATTGCACTATATTTTTATTGAATTAAATGAAAGAAACATGACATTTTCACATGTTTTAAATGTAAATAAAATGTACTTATGTACAAGTTTAGAAATAAAAATCATTGTTTTGTAAACATCTCCGTCAAATCAAAACAAACAATGTGCCTACACTGGCTTTGCTGGTGAAAGAATAATAGCGCACTTAGACTTTTGTGGACAATTTTTTTTCTGAAAGTGATTCGGATAATTGGCGATTCGGATAGTCGGAGTTCGGATAATTGGAGTTCGGATGATTGGAGTTCGGATAATTGGAGTTCTACTGTATATTCTTTATTATAATTATTATAAACTACCTTATTATCAACCGCCAGGAGCACGTCTTCAGCGTATTGTATGGCAACAGCTTCTTCTCTGCGTCGCCGATCTCTTCTAGCGAGGCACTCAGCCAACCAGTCGGCGTGTCTCCTATCCTCTTCAGCGACAGACAACTCGCCCGTGCGTCTAAGCACGTGCTCCGGAAGACCGTGAAGCGCCGCGAGCTGACCAGCCGCCACGGCGTGCACGCGGTCACGCAATTTCTCACGCACAAATAACCGCAGGACGCGGAAAGGAGCGCGGAACCACAAGGGGGCCGTCACGATTAACACACGTTTCAACCGGGCAGGATAACCACCCTGGAAAGATAAGGATTGTTATCGGGTATTTTGTTAGAATCTATAACGAAAATAATTTGTTTACACAGTCCTAATGCTTTGCTTTAGTCGCAAATGTTTTATTAACAGTGATGATTTTTGTGAGTAATCGCAAAAATATTGAAAATGAAAATTTTTGCGTTTTAAGGTCTTCTGAACATTTTGGCATACTTTAGATAAAATGAATGTACATATGTGTGTGTGTCTGTATAGTCTGTATGTACTATTTTATTGCTTACACCTTTGCCAAAGTAAAGGTTCTGCTGGTCCTTTTTATCCCACTCATGTGTTGCTTATCTTCTGATAGGAAAGTCATAAGAATAAAGGCGATGGCTGGTTATGAATTTATACATTTTTTATCCTCTTCTATCAAATATTTTTGTTTAAAAAAATCTAATTTTATTTGTTTACGAGATATCCGTGGTGGACCATTAATAATTGGTCTACCCTACCCATAAACATACAAATGTGATTTTTTAATGTAAGTAATCAGTAATTTTTGATTGATTTCTTTACATAATTTTATTGTAAAAACAGTCCCTAGTGCTATTGTGCATAAAAGACATTGCAATTGCTTTCGTAGACTTGGCCACATCATGTAAAATCATGTTGGTCATTCTAATTGAACATAAATTTTTGCAAATTGGGTCATTATAAGCGACATGTCAATGTAAGCGATGTCAATATATCCGGCTAGACAGCTGTTTTTTTAAGGAATTTTATATGGAAACCAAACTTCCTAGTGCGATTACGTCATAATAAGCGGTTATCAATATATCCGGCGTCATACTAATCGGATTCTACTGTATTTATGATCGGTTACAAATTTTCGTTCTCAATTTCGAGAGCACGGATCATCCGATCCGATTTGAATGATTCTAAAAGCATTCGATTCTTATATATACATATATAATTATATTCATTATAAACATTACATTATAGACAACAAAGTTAGAAAATAACGCTTTTGTCTTACGACGAAAAAGTACTTGCCCTGACTAGATGCATGAAGTCAGGGCATTACATTTTTACATAGAAGAAGAAAGTTATCGAAATAAATTTGTTTAATGAGATAATTCTTGCCTATCTCAATAATTTTCAATCTGCATCCATGAGAACACATATCCGCAGGTCCAGCGGTTTCGAAATGTAAAAATAGCAACTCATTTTGCAAGAGAACCAAGGGTCCAATTAGAATGTTCAAAAAAACATTTCACTTGTATTAACAGAATAAAAAAATTGATTAAACTTTGAAAAATTGTGAAGGCGGGACCAGTAGCTTCGTAGATCCTGGTTCGTACGACATCAAATTATCAGAAACTTTATAAAGATTTTAATAATAAATACATTTACATTTCTATGGGTTCCATATTAGGATTTGTAATGTTTCACCGTGAAACTGCAATCGTGAAATTTCAAAATTCTCAAAAATTTACTTTTTTCAAAATTTCAAATTTCAAAGCTTTGATGAACGGTACTTAAATGATGCCTTAAAGCAATATCGGTTTTGCTCAAGTTACTATTCAACCTAATATGATATGATATTGATATAGAGAAGTGCCCAAAGATTATCCTATCGATTTTTACAATTATTAATTTTATTATACACACGTTCAAAATCGGCGTTATCTCGACTATCCTATATATATGGTAATATAAATATCAGTCAATAATTTTCAGTAATTCATATTGAATTTCAATAATTTCCTAAAAATATGCATCTCAAGCTCATATAATAACTCTGACGATATGTATCTCAAGAATTCTCATACTAGATATTTTTTAAATTCCTGGCAGATAAGCGAATAATGTTTTTGTCACATACATATTGTTTTTGTATTATTTATATTACTGCCTTTTAATTAGTAGCCGTGAGTAATGATCTCAATGAGTAATATTTCCAATTGAATAAATAAATACAAAAAGATGAAATTTTATTTAATATTGAAAACAGCTGCCAATATTGTAATATACGAGTGACATTTTTATTGCTATTGCTAAAGAGCGGTTGCCATAATGAAATCTCATGTATAAATATACTATGTATAAAAGATTACAACAAAATGTATTTGCTTGAGTCATTATAAAGTTTTCAATAATAATAACATCAAATAAAATTTATGCAATCTAATGCATTTAACTACATAAAAGAACTTTTAAACACTTAAACATTCCGATTTATTTAAAACTGTAATAAATTGTAACTGTAAATGAATTTCGTATTAAATCCTTTTCGTTCCATTTGGTTTTTATATAATTCAAGGCATTATAAGTCCGTATTATTGCTGTTGTATATATTTTATGACTGAACAATACTACTATTTCAAAAACTATATGCATTTCAAAATGTAGAGAATAAAAACGTGTTATTAAGGATAGATTTATCTTACGAAGAATCAAGATAAATATGTGATTCAAAAACAATCTTAATTTTTCTTAATACAACAAAATCCAACTGTTGAGAGTTATATAAGATTAAGATCACGTCCTTCAAAATTGCTATTTATAAAATGCTTTCAAACATATAGTCCGCGCTCTTGTAGTTATTTATAAAATATCGGTATTCTTCATCTATGTACTAAATTCGCTTAAATAAATAAAAATATACAAATGCATAATATTAATAAAATACTTCTATTTATGCTATAAATAAAATTTTGTAATAAAAATTTGTTAATTTTGCAAAAGTTGCTAAAACTACCATTATACATATAGAAGATTTCATGCCATAGCCAAATATTGGCATGGGAATCATGTCTATAGTATGAATAAACGACGCAATAAAAAATACCATGTACAAAGTGATTAAACAATTTTTTACTTACTTTATTAAACGCTAATTTAACTTTTGATTGTTATGAAAGTTTATGATCATTTGTCATAACATTTTGCGTTTAACATTAAATGAAAATGTATTAAATTTATTTATTTGAACACTTATTTATCTGCTCTAATTATTTTTTATCAATAAAATATCACAATGGATATTGTTAATATTATTTAATCACAACGATTAAGATATTTGACTAAAATATATAATATTGTTTATAAATTATTATTATTCTACATACAGAACAATATTTTATGTTAAAACTTTTCAACTTTATCTTGACCGAGATTTTCTCACAAAAACACTCTACAAACAATTGGGAATACTAGATCAGCGGCGTTCACATATAATCATTTCCAAGAACCCTTTTACGTTATCAATAGTTTTATTTTTATTATAACACTAAATTTATATTATAATATTAATAATTGTTGGCTTGTTACGTTTGACCGAGTTTCGTGACCGAAATGAACTGACAGAACGATTTTATCGACCGCCTAAACATAATTTTCCCCTCGACATCTGCGCATGCTCCCGAAAATTTAAATATATTTAATACACATAGTCACAAGAATATATAGTGGTCTTAAGTTTAAAGAATGAATATTGAAATAACAGCAATTAAATTATGCAATTCAATGTTTTGGCCATAAAATGTTGTAAGCGAAACACAAAATTGTAGAATTATTCGAGAAAAGTTCTAACGTATTATTCAAAAATGAATGGTGTAACGATTGATTCAAATAATTCAAATAATACAAAATACCATTCATTCTTATATAGAAGAAAGTCAATTATTTATAAACACACGTTAAAATATAATATTGTATTATAAATAAGAGCTGCTCTTTACGGCTTCTATATTCTCCCTTTAAAATAACATTAAGTATGGTAATAAAATTGAATTTGTAATTTAAATATTTATAATAAAAATATATCAAAAAGTGTATCAATAGACGAAAGATATTGGAAATTTTTAGAATTGCTCATAATAGCGCAAAAGCAAATTAAACATTGCGTATATCATAAAATTCCGTAAGTGTTTGAGCAGTTAAAATGTTATTGACATTACAAAGTCCCTACAATAAATTCCAAAATTTGTATTAATTGCTAGATTTGAGTAATTACTATTTATTCTTCAACATAAAATAGCATAAAATTCTACAACAAAGCTCGTAACTATTTTAGGTTTCAGTGTATTTTGAATGTACCTACTCAAGCCAAAATTGCAAAACAATGCAAAGTTGTGAATGTGAACCCCATTAAGACGATCACATTTAATACGATTTTTCGTATAATACTTTAAAACACGCAAAACAAAAGACTATTCAGTCTTTTGTATAATATTTTGTATATTATTATTATTTTGTATAATAAATCGTTTTAAAAATTGTAACGGCATTGAAATCACCGTGATATCGAAGACAGTGAACCAAAAAAATGTGAAACCGCGAAATATTTTTAATGCTTTATTTTTTAAATTGATCTCAGATAAATCCGGAGTTTTCAAGAGAGAGGTTTCTTTGGTGGTGAAGCAAGTAAATAGAGACTAATTTTAAATAACGTAATTATGATGAAGCGACGTATTTTAATGTAACTTATAAATGTATAATTTATTCCTATTTAAACCAAAATATAGAACATAATACAAAATAATAAGTTCTTTAAAACTTGTAAAACAAAAGACTGAATAAATCGTTTTAAAAATTGCAACGGCATTAAAATCACCGTGAGATTGAAGATAATGAACCGAAAATTTTGATATTACGAACCGCGAAACATTTTTAATGCTTTATTTTTTGAATTGTTCCTAGATAAATCCAATGTTTTCAAGAGAGAGATTTCTTAGGTGGTAAAGCAAGTAAATAGAGGCTAATTTTAAATAATTCTAATGAAGTTACATATTTTAATCTAACTTATAAATGTATAATTTATTCCTATTTAAACCAAAATATAGAACATAATACAAAAAATAAGTAGTGAGCAGCGGCGGATCCAGGGGGTGGGTCATGGGGGTCATGACCCCTCATGAGCTTGTCTTAAAACTTAGATAGAACACTAATTACTTCATAATGATTTTATTTATGTATTTTGTTACCAAACGCATTTTAAAACTTCAATATGTAACTTATTATAGACGGCAGAGTCAAACTCCTAAAATTTAAGGATTTTCTAATCGTATTGCGATTATATGTTCTATACATAATTTAATTATGTGACCCCCCCCCTGGCGCCAAAGCTGGATCCGCCACTGGTAGTGAGTACGTTATTTTGTCTCGCATAAACAAGCTTTCTCGCTCGACGCGCCTTTTGGTAGAGTTTCAATTAATAATAATAATATTAATAATAGCCATTACAAACCTTTAAAAGCATCAGCATTTTTTGTGAAAGGTCATAATCAAAATTGGCGTACTTGCTGTCGGTCATATCATATACAAAGACGAGTCCGAACTTTTGCGTAGAGGCATCGTCCGTAGCGGCATCAAGTTGATGTACGACACCTGCGAGAGTCGTGCGATGCAGGCAAATTTCCGGGCGGTGTAAGCGAGCGGTAAATACTGCAATTGCCGCCCCTTTGGTATCGCGTTCATTCTAAATTTAAAAAATAACAAGTAATATTGTAACGTATATATAGAAAATTAACCTGCTTTTCTATAAAGAACTAATAGATATTATAATGCAATAGTAATAATTCATAATTAGTTTAATATCTTATTTTTATGGACAATAAATTGAAATTATAGATCAATTTGTTTAACATGAACCAAATTTTGATATGAGTTCCTGACAAAAAGGTGTATTAGAGATAGTTTATTAGTTTATTAACCACTTCTATAAGAACGAAGAGGAAAAATGCAAACTATACATTAGTGGCCTTTGACCAAAAGATATAATAATAGAAAATAGACTGAATAAACTGTCTGAATAAATATTTTATTAGTTTTTATTTGTATATACATTTAAGTTATCTTTATTCAGTATGATATAAATGTTTCGATTTATTTTTATTTTAAAAAAATCATATTTTATAGCCGTCTTTTCCTATTTCGAAGCTGCGTTTAGCGTTGTTAAGGGGGTATTTTAGTGTAGAAATTCAAACAAATCGATTTTTTTTATTTCATATTTTCAAATTTTAACTATCTAAGAATATGGGTACGAGAAAGTTTTTGAATATTTGAATTATTTTCGGAGATATAGGCATTCTACTGACTTGGTCTCCATACTGGTTTGGCTTCACGCAAAACTTTAAATGCGTTTATCTCAGAACAGACTTTTTCAGTACTGTTGACACGATTTCTCGAGTTCTACTCGACCGATTCACTTGAAATGTTCAGAGAGTCTTGTTTATAGTCCTATTTATAGCCCAAACTAGGATTATGCCCAAACTCCAATTTTTACTATTGTTTAAAAATTCGAGAAACTCAAAAAAACAGTAAAAAAAACACTTTTTTTCAAACAGTCGCCGATTTGTAAAAAAAAAATTTACTCATCGCTAGTTCGGGCGATTGCGACATCATTGTAGATTAATAATTTTTTTATTTCTTTTATTTCGGATGGCTAGGAGGGCTGAAATCATGTCAAGACTGAGGTGCTAATTTTTTGTGACCCCCCACTTCATCAGCTGCCAGTTTCTTAAATTTTGAACTTTTTTTTTTAATTTTTGTATTGTATTTTAATAATATTAATACACACGTGGTATAAAAATGGATAGTAAAAACATTCATTGCTTTCTTTTACGACACTTTAAAAATGACCTAAAATTCATCGCTCTACACTAGAATACCCCCTTAAGAGAGGTATTACTGTTTAGCGCGGTCATTCAGCGGAATTATAAAATAGACTTAAATCAATTAGCACATATGCAGATTGTTCTAAATGTTGAATTTATTCACTTGCCAATGGCAAATTTGGCTAAATTTAAAAATGTTATTAGTATGAACGTGTGAAACTGATTTTTCGTTGACGAATCGTAAATTGCTAAAAGCACAATGAAATTGCAAAAATTTATTGAAAAAATCATAAAGATTTCAAAGTGATTAATTTCGAATCATATTGCTGAATGTTATACATAAATGTATATAATATTATTATGAAGGTTTCTTGGTTTTCTAATTCATGTTCATGTTCAATTCATTTCATAATTCATAAAAGTGGAAATTCAGGATTGGCAATTCTTGATTTTAGTTAGATTTCTTATTATATTTTATATTGTAATCTGACATAATTATAATTATATCAGATTACAATAAAAAAATAAAAGTACACGTAATATAAGTATAAGTATACTATAATTACTTTGAACATATTATAATTCATATGTAAGTAAAAATAATAAAGAATATATTTTATATTGTAAAACAATTAAAATATTTTTCGCGTTTTTAAATCTCATGTCAAAATAGAGAATATAAACATTATTGTTGAATATTAATAAAAATTGCAACATAAAATGTAAGTTAATAATATTGATAACCTACCAAAATTGTGAATTTTCCAGTTTGTAATTCTGATTTTAAAGGCTCAGAACTTGGATCCAGGCCATCTAAACCTTCTCTGGCTCTTGTAGCTTCGTGTTGTTCATATAAAGAGACAGCCCGCGAGGTATCAAACTTCCGAGCAAACAAAAACTTGATGGCCGTTGATCGAGCGACTGATTTACCATCACGATTTAAAGATCGTATAAATTCTTGTACCGCCTATGGGATATATAAGTGATTTGTGTTATTATATGTTTATTATTAATTATTGCTGCAAGATTGCATTACTTAGAGCAATCAAATTTAGATTGCTGCTTAGCTACAAATTAGATTTTTTTTTCATAAACTCTTATACCGGAGTCAGGCACAACTGCCTGACTGAGATATGAAAAATAGATATTTTGCTGATGAATAAATTTAATAAATAAATAATAAAAATAATTAACATGTGGCAACTTTAAATTATCATGTAAACCTTGGATTTTTTAACGAAATTTCGATGTTTATAATTTCAAAATCTTGAACAGTTTTTATAACTTAAGTTACGTTTTGTGATTTGCTGGATTGATGCATAGTAAGTAATTTGAAATAATATAATAATAATTGTGTTATTCTTATATACTGCTACAAAAATCAAATTTTAGTAGAACTATGCATATTGTTAATTTCTCTACTTTGTGCACTGATGATAAGAATCAAATGCTTTCTGACCTGACATACACTCAAACAAAAATTCGTAAAAGACGTTACAAGTGATTTTATATATTTTGATAAAATTCAAAAGCCGATTTTTTAATCTTTTTTCCAATATTATGAAATACAGAATAGAATCATTAAAAAATCTGTTTTATTTTGAATTATATAATTTATTGTATAATTGTATTAGTTTTAATTTTTGATAATTTTTTGTAACGCTATAATATAATTGATTTTAATTTGTATGCTAATGATAATTGATTTTTATCTGTATAAATAAAATTTTTATTTACTACTTTTTGTTCAACGTAGTGGGCGTTATATTACGAAAAATATATTTCAGCATAGAACAAATAAGTAGTTTATCATTTTAATTTCAATTTCACAAACTTTTTTTTATTTAATTAGTTTATTGTTCCAATCATTAATTGCCAGGATTTAATATTGTGATTGTTTAGTGTTAATTTCAATTTCACAAGCTTCATTATATTTTAATTTAATTGATTTAATGTTTCAATTATTAATTGCATGGATTTAACCATTGTGTAATAGTTTAGTGCAAACTAACCAAGTGTATTTTTTTTATTCTAGGAATTTCGACGTAAACGTAGACCAAAATGTATATATTCATAGTTTTAATTTTTGTATATGCACACCAAATTTATATTCTTCAACAATATTCTTTAATATTTATTTTCTATTAACGAAATAATATTTATAAAATAATGCAATAAGTAAAAATTCATATAATAAAATAATATTATATTGAAGGAAAATTAAATCGAGTCTATTTTGAGCATAATTTTTCATCCATATAATAATCCATATTAACAAATCGTGTTTATTTACTTATTAGGAAGTAATGACTAATTTGTAATTGGACTGATACAAAACTTTGCTATTAAATTCAAATTATTTATATATAAACAGTAATTATGCACACACACATGTTATTAACATTTCAAAAATAGTAATGATCATCTCTTAGATTATATATTTATTAAGATACTTTAAATGAATAAACAAAACGAAGAAGTGTCACACCTCTGGTTTATAATGTACTCCCTTGAAAATATAAGCATTATATTGCATACTACATTATAAAAAAATAAATTAGATATCTACATTAATTTTTTTGTGGTTGTAATATATATTAATAATATAAAATAATAAAAGTTATATTTCTTTCACTCACCACCTCTTGTTCAGCATTTAAGGCTGACGCCATTTTCTTTGAATAATCATAAACGTCATTTGCATATGTCATTTTGAACCAAATCTTGACTTGCATACCGTTAAACTCATTTTTAAATATTATACGAAATTAAATGCGAAAAATGGTTTATATGTTTATAAATAATAAATATATTGTTATAAATCTTATTTATCAATTTCTATTTTCGAACATAATTTTAAATTCAAATTTTGTACATTATTTTTAATGTTGGCGACATTGCGAATTGAAAGGAGGTCTACATCAAAATGAAAGCAAAGCTATGGAACTCGATCGTTTCCGTACTTTCGGTCTTTAGTTCGTGGGCAATATGGGTGAGTGCTTCGTGAATAAGAAGTTTATAAATCCTTCATCATCTGTTTTAATAAATAAATTTATTTAATCATATTTTTGTATCTGGAGTGTACTAAGTTTCTGGTGTCTTAAAGTTCACATATTTTTCATTAAATGGTTTTTCTAGAGGAATTACACGTTGTGGAATTTTACATTCATTTTAATGCCGCCACCTTGCTGAATATTATATTTATTTCATGTTGTCTGTTTTTGTACTTGTATTGATTAATGTTTTATCTAAATAGGTATCAGTCGTGATCATTGGCATAAACGACGTGCCACTGGAGGCAAAAGGAAACCTATCCGCAAGAAGAGGAAGTATGAGTTAGGTCGCCCAGCAGCTAATACGAAGGTATTTTGATTTTTTTCATATTATAAAATGTTCATGCATTATGTTATGATGATAAGAATATTTGGTTCAACCGACTTTTGTGCTGAAGACAAAACTATTCCACAGCGCTCTGATATTTAGCTGCATAAAATTAAGCTTTTAGTGACTTTGCTTGAGTATGCATTCATGTTTATTCTATTTTAGTTAGGACCACAACGTATCCACCTTGTTAGGACCCGTGGTGGCAATGTAAAACATCGTGCATTGCGTTTGGACACAGGAAACTTCTCTTGGGGATCTGAATGTAAGTCTATTATTTATATTACAATTATAGCATGTGCATTTGAAGATCATACATTGTCTTACCATGATGTATGTTCTTATCAGTAAGTTTCAATTCAGTCAATCCAAAGATTTACTGTCCTTGGAAAAGTAATTCAACTTGTGCTTTAGTCATAATATGTATCAATACTTATTGTCGTTTTAAATTTCAGGTGCAACTCGTAAAGCTCGTATTATTGATGTTGTATACAATGCATCCAACAATGAATTGGTCCGTACCAAGACTCTTGTAAAGAATGCTATTGTAGTTATTGATGCCACACCTTTCAGACAATGGTATGAAAGTCATTATGTATTACCTTTGGGACGCAAGCGAGGTACTAAGCTCACACCTGAAGAAGAAGCAGTTATGAATAAAAAAACGCAGTAAGAAGGTATGTTTGCAGCTATATACAATTCTACACAATTCAATTGATAGATTTTAAATCATTTTACTGTTGCTCTGAATACGTTTTATGAACATTTACATTCTACACATCTAATTCCATGACTCAGTACCTTCTCAAAAAAGCACCTTGTTACAATTTTCATAGTTGCATAGGTTGTCAACGGGAAGAAGATCAATTCATATTATGGGTGAGATGATGGTTTATTAATGGCCATTTTATCTCAATATAATATGAAACATATTTTTTATGCATAAATTTCAATATGTAAATTGGTTTTATTGCATTCTAATGTATTAATATTTGTTTCAGGTGGCTAAAAAATATGCAACAAGACAACGTGTTGCTAAAGTTGAGCAAGCTCTGGAAGAACAGTTTGCTACTGGTCGTCTATTAGGTAATTTTCTTCATTACTTTTACAAATTCATCAATCTTTATGATGATAAATTCTAAGCGATGCACAAATTGATAAATTGTTGTTTTAACATTTTATCACTGTGCAGTCCATGATTAGCTTGTCATAGTTACTCTGATTTAAATATTATAAAAAGTATTTACTTTTTTTAGTTAAGTCTACAGCTTTTGTTTAATTTTCAGCTGCTGTTTCCTCTCGTCCTGGACAATGTGGACGTGCAGATGGTTATATCTTAGAAGGAAAAGAATTGGAATTCTACATGAGGAAGATCAAGTCTAAAAAGGCGAAGTGATTATATTAATATAATGTGTAAAAAAAATTGGGATGAATAAAATAATTCCAGACAACTAATTTTTTTGATTAATGTTCTCATTTCAGTAGCTTATTAATTTAGTGCATTTTGTTTGAATTATATTTATTTGAAATTTTATTTTCTCAGTTTATTTATTATTAGTTTATATTTATTTCAGTAACTTTGAATTAAATAATTCAATGAATTAAACTTAATAAAAGTAAATGGAATGCTGTATCAATTCACATCAGTTTACAATATTTCAAATATGTATAAATTTCCTATTCCATCAAATATATTTTCATATATATCATTTTATATATTAAAAGCAGGCTTCAAGATATAGGGTTTTGTGTTATGTGAAACATATGTTTATTATCATATTATTATATTGTCTAGGTTTATTATATTTGCTAGGGTTTTAATTCATTAAGTCAAGCCTTCTCATAAGTTTATGAAGTCATTTGGCTTTGAACCGTCCGAAGTGATTGTAATGACAAAAATAATACCAATCTAACGAAATGCAGGTAATCTTTTAAACCTGTCATGTTTATTTATCTATGGCTGTACCCTAGTACATTAATTTTGAAACTGGCTGTCACTATTTGTTACGAAAATCTGACACTTCGTCAGCCTAATAAGAATTAACCATGGCTGCTAGTATATTAAATACAATTTTACGAAAGTCTAATAATTTAATAGCTCCAATATCATCCCTTAATTCAAATGGTGTTTTGCAAAATGCCATGTAAGTTCAACATAATTTATTATGTAATTTTGTGGTTATAAAACTTGCAAGATTTTTTAGTCATTTATTACTTTTATTTTTTAAGTATCGCAAGATGTGCAGGAAAGTGGTATCCGGATATCGAGTATTATAAACAGTTTGCTGGACCTGTTCTGTACCCTGATCCAAATGTAGAATACAAAATGATCCCATGGAACAGTAAGATCCAAACAGTTCAAGAATCTGTTTTTAACACATATTAAACTAAGTACTATTTAAGATATCTTTCTGTTCAGGTATTGAACATCCAGTTGAAAAGCAGGTACGTAACTTGCACTTGAATTTTGGGCCACAACATCCAGCTGCCCACGGAGTGTTACGACTAGTTCTAGAACTGGATGGAGAGGTAATTTTATTATAAATTTTTTATAGTTTATTGAGAATGACATCTGTTTACTTTGTTCACAAACTTTAATCACAATTTGATTATTAATTTTACTTATGTGAATAAGACCAATATTATTATCTGTACTCGTAGGTTATATTAAATATCTTTTCTATAATTTTAGACAGTTGTGAGAGCTGACCCTCATATTGGCCTTCTACATCGTGGAACAGAAAAATTAATTGAATATAAAACATACACACAAGCATTACCATACTTTGATCGGTTGGATTATGTATCCATGATGTGCAACGAACAATGCTATTCTTTAGCTGTGGAAAAATTGCTGAACATTGATATTCCTTTGAGAGCAAAATATATCAGAAGTGAGATATATTGTAATATTTATTAGGTGTATTTTATATTCAAAAAAATATTTTTATAGCATTGTTTGCTGAAATTACAAGAATTTTAAATCATATTATGGCTGTGGGTACACATGCATTGGATGTAGGAGCTTTGACACCCTTTTTCTGGCTTTTTGAGGAAAGAGAAAAAATGATGGAATTCTATGAAAGAGTATCAGGCGCTAGAATGCATGCTGCTTATATTCGTCCTGGTGGTGTGTCACAGGTATTTTTTTCTGCAGTCTTATTACTTTTTACAATAATAATTCTTTATTTTTGAAATAATCTAATAAGCAATCTATATTTAGGAATAAAAATTGTTTTAATAAAGCAATTAAATTTTAATTTCAATGATAATAATCATTTATATAAATATACTAGGATATGCCAATTGGATTGATGGATGATATTTACGAATTTGCTTCAAAGTTTGCTGAGCGTTTAGATGAAGTAGAAGATGTGTTAACTACAAACCGATTATGGGTTCAACGTACTGTTGATATAGGAACCGTTTCTGCTGAAGATGCTCTGAATTATGGTTTCAGGTAATATTATCTGTAATAATTATTTAATTGATCACCATTGCCTTAATATATCAATTAATTTTTTTTTTAGCGGTGTTATGCTTCGTGGATCTGGTATTAAATGGGATTTGCGTAAAGTTCAACCTTATGATGCTTATGATAAGGTTGAGTTCGATGTACCTATTGGTACTAAAGGAGATTGTTACGACAGGTACTGATATTGTGAGAGTTTATAAATTAAATGTGTTATATTTTATGAAATTTTTCAAAATACAGATACTTGTGTCGTGTTGAGGAAATGAGGCAATCTTTGCGCATCATTGATCAATGCTTAAATCAAATGCCAGAAGGTGAAATTAAAACTGATGACATGAAATTAACAACACCATCTAGAGAAGAAATGAAGGTACAAAGTTTACTGAGAAATCTAAAAGCACAATTCATATTTTTTTTCTTGTATTACTTCATACTTTGCACAGATAATTTAGTTGTAATATAATTATATATTTATTTTATTTTATTATAGACTTCTATGGAAGCTCTAATTCATCACTTCAAACTCTTCACTCAAGGATACCAAGTACCACCTGGTGCTACATATACAGCTATTGAAGCACCAAAGGGAGAATTTGGTGTTTACCTAGTATCCGATGGTTCTAGCAAACCCTACAGGTATGTAAATTTGTGACAAAATTATAATTGTTTTGATTCAAATGTTCGGAAACAATATTTCAATAGTTCGAGGTAATTTAAGTAATATTAGCAGGTTAAACTCTATGAGAAATTTTCTGAAGCTTTATTATGAAAGTTGAAATCACAATATGGCAATTTAAGTGCATTTATTTACAATTATAGTAATTGCTATAAAGTTATATTTTGTGTTAGTTCCATTTATAATAGTGAAAATAAGTCAATGATAATTTTTAATCAATTAATTACAATAAATTCAAAAATTTATTATCTTATAGGTGCAAAATCAAGGCACCAGGTTTTGCCCATTTGGCCGCTTTAGATAAAATAGGAAAGCGTCATATGCTTGCTGACATTGTGGCTATTATTGGTACATTGGATGTAGTATTTGGAGAGATAGATCGTTAATTTTATATGTATATAAATAATATAAATAAATAATGTAAGTTTGACTTGTGATTTACTTGATAGTTATTTATTTGTTAATAGATCACAGTTTATATTCATTTATTCATTCATTAGTTCATTATAAGCTAAGTAAATCTGGAGTGATTACGGTTGATATATATGCGAAATATATTATTTTAGTTCAGTCCTTTACTGAACTGAATAACTCCTTTCTGAAATGTAATTGAAAACCAAAATTTTATTTTTAACTCTTTGCATTTGTCTACAATTATGGATTTTAAATATTTGCAATTGAATTAAATTTTTTTCTGCGATAAAATGAATCTTTTTAGTAATTGTGATGTTACTAGATTTTTAAAATATCATGAACCTTAAACATAGTAATGTATAACAAATGTATTATAAGGATTATAATGAATATACATTTGAAATGAATGTATATACATTTGAGATGTTCATTTGTTTTCAATAATAATAACTTGTTGAAAAAATGTTCAAAAAGTCAAATAGCTTAAAAAGAGCATTAAGTGTTCCATGGATACATTCAAGCAGTTCTTTAAAATATGCCAAGAAGTGGTATCCAGATGTTGAATACTATAAACAATATGCAGGACCTGTCTTGTATCCAGATTGGGATGTTACAGGATGGAAGCCTAAATGGAATGGTATGTAACAAATTGTTTTATTAAGCACTCAATAAAACTTATGCATTTTTGACCAATCTTAAATCAATTATGTTTATATCATATGATAATCTTTGCAATAGTATACTGAAATATTACAATTGAAGATACAGAGGTGCAGTATAAACTGTTATTTTATAATTTGAACATTTATTATAATTATGATTAAAATTTGATGAATACTTATTTATAGGACTTAAACATCCACCACAATATTCTTTCAAGAACTATGTTATCAATTTTGGTCCTCAACATCCAGCTTGCCATGGTGTTTTAAGACTTGTCCTCACCTTAGATGGAGAAGTAATGAAATAAAAAATATTACACGTTCAATATTATTATTAATTCGATGACAGTGTAAATAATAATAAATATTATTATAATAGACTATAGTTCGGGCTGATCCCCATATTGGATTATTACACAGAGCAACTGAAAAGCTTATAGAATATAAAACGTATATGCAAGCTCTACCTTACTTTGATAGACTGGACTACGTCTCTATGATGGCAAATGAGCAATGTTTCTGTCTGGCTGTTGAAAAATTGCTGAATATTAACATTCCAAAAAGAGCGAAATACATTAGAAGTAATAGTAAAAATATTAATGCAGTAACTTTTTTCTAAATAAATATTTAAAATTTTATTAGCAACCATAAATTAACTGATTTATATTTGTTCAACCGATATATTTCTAGCTTTATTCTCGGAAATATCTCGCTTACTAAATCATCTGGTTGCTATTGGCTGCGGCGCCATTGATCTAGGAGCAATTACATTATTTTTTTGGTTTTTCGAGGTAAAACATGATTGATAAATGGATTATTTTTATATAATATAATCTTCATATTTTGTACAAATTTTAGGAGCGTGAGAAATTGATGGAATTTTACGAGCGCGCTTCTGGTGCCCGGATGCACGCAGCATATGTGCGTATTGGAGGTGTACATCAAGACATTCCTCTTGGTCTTTTAGATGATATCTATGATTTTATATCAAAATTTGGAGAGCGTTTAGATGAAGCAGAAGATGTCATAACAAAAAACAGACTGATTATAGCAAGGACGCAAGATATTGGAATTGTGAATGCTCACGATGCTCTTAATATGGGTTTTAGGTTAGCAACACCTAAATAACATTTATGAACTTTGTTATTACATGTCTTCATTCAATTAGTTTTGATTTATCTTATGATAATTTTTGTTGAACATTTTTTAGTGGCGTTATGCTTAGAGGATCTGGAGTAAAGTGGGATTTACGTAAAAGCCAGCCCTATGATGCATATTGCGATATGGTATTTGATGTACCAATTGGAAGTAAAGGCGATTGCTATGATAGGTTTGTTATAAGTTTATTATCAACATTAAATTACGTAATAAAAATGATGCAATTTTTAGGATGTTAGTGCGGTTAGCCGAAATGCGCCAATCTCTGCGCATTATAGAACAATGTATTAATCGAATGCCTGCCGGTGAAGTCGCAATCGATGACATGAAAATTAGTCCTCCTCGCAGGAAAACTATGATAGTAAGATCATTTACAACATCAAATTATAATAAATATATTTATCTATTTTGATCACAAATTGGAATAGTTCTGCTAATTCACCCAATCATTTCTTTATTTAGCAATCAATGGAGGGTTTGATAAATCATTTTAAATTGTTCAGCAGAGGATTTGATGTTCCCCCTGGTTCAACTTATACTGCAATAGAAGCTCCAAAAGGTGAATTTGGAGTATATTTGGTGTCGGATGGATCCAGTAGACCATATAGGTAGAAAACTTAAATAACTTAAAATTGTGTAAATGCAGTATGGATATAAGAAATAATTTGTTAATTATTTAAACAGATGCAAGATAAAAGCACCAGGATTTGCGCATCTTGCCGGTCTGTCGACTTTGGCCCCTAAATTATTCCTTGCAGATATTTGTGCAGTGCTTGGGACGTTAGACATTGTTTTTGGCGAAATAGATAGATAATAAAAATAATATGTAAATAACATATATAAATGTTATGTAAAAAACGTTTGTTTCATGTTATTCTTTTCAAATACACGTAAAAATAAATTTTAGGACCAAAATATAGATATAGAGTCTTAGTCACTTATTTATATTTATAGATTTGATCTAGTCGATTTTTAAACTATATAAGATGATAAATTATTGCTTAAATACAATCAACTAATTAAATCTGTATACTGATTTAATAATTAGTTGACAACTTTATAAATTACATATTAAACTCGAAATATATATTATAATTTTTATAAGATTGATAATTATTTTCATAATTATAGTTGATTGTATTTAAGTAAAGATTTATCATCCTATATAGTTTAAAAATTGACTAAAACAAATCTATAAAGTGACTAAGACTATTATTTGATCTTAAAATTTAAACTTAAAGAATATACAAGATTAAAAAAAAAAAAACGAAGTAGTATGTACTAGCTTTTATCTACAGATACTACTTTGTTTTTTTATAATTTTGTAAATTCTTTAAGTTTGGTTGTATCAATATTTTAATAAGAAAATAAGATATATTTATAAAAATTAATCTACCAGTATGTCTAAAAAAATTTAAAAAGAATCTGGCGTCATCTACAATTTTAAAACCAAAGCATGGTTTGACGTATAAAGGTTTATTGAACTTGTCAAGCAGACAGTTCATAGTTGCAGTTCATTGGTTTATTATATATTCTAGTCTGCTAAGTAGTGGTCGAGTGCTTATAACAGTATAATGTATTTTTAATTGACATTTCTATCAATGTGTTACATATTTAATTAAAAAAATGGTTAACAATAAGTTGAAATTGATAGCCGAAAATTATTTTGGCAGTTTAAACCCTATTGCTGCAAGAATACAAAACGATATAAAAGAAATACAACTATCCTATGACAACCTTTGGGGTAGTTTAAAAAGTTATGAACAGAATGAAATTATTGATGAATCAATTATAAAACCAGAGATCGCTTTACAATACGCTTTATTGACACCTACAGAGGAGAAGAATATTAGCTTTGATGAAGGGTTACATTGTTACAACAGCAATCTAGTAACTGGTCAAAAAATTGTGCAGGATGAAAATTTTGCTTACCGAGACGAGCATTCAGCTCCTTTCAATATGAAGACTGCCAGTCAATTAAATTTGAATATTTTTGAAGTAGAAAAAATAACAAAACCTCATGTAAAACATTTGCCTGGTGCAATAAATGAACCTAAACAGGAAGTCGAAGAATTAAATAACCATGAATCTTCTAAACCTGATGATTCCACAATACCTAAAATAATTAAACCACCAAATGAAGCCAAATTTTTATCTGAATTAAAATCAAGAACACAAATGAAGGGCGAAGAATCTATTGCTTACAACGAAATGAATTATTTAAAAGATGAAAACATAATACCAGATATGGGTGAAATTAATTTAGATACAGTAGATAGTATTGATACTATTAAGACTGGATATGATTTTCTGGATAACTGGTAAAACTGTTTGGAAAACAGTATCACAAATTTTATTTATACTAATATTTTATATTTACAATCTATTTCATATATGTTTAAACTAAATATCCTTAATGTTTAGATGTTGTGACTGATTTTTATGTATCAAACTGATTAATATATATGTTATATAACTAAATTATGAGTTTTGCTTTCATTACATCTTTCTTCCAGAGATTTCACTTTCTAATGAATTCATAATAGGTATACTAAACACAGTTTTTAAATAATCTGCATCTAATTTACTTAACTTATAGATAACTTTCTCATAATCAAATAAACAGAAAATAACTGTTGTTTATGTAAATAGATTTATATATTCAGCATAAAATTAAGTTTTATAATATAAATGAAAATCTTTTTTACTGTTATTATTACCAAATAATGAATGTTAATTCTGAAAAAAAATAGTCATAAAAACTAAAAAATTAAGAAAAATGCCCAAAATCAGTTTGAAATCACCCAAGTAGTTCAATATTTTTTCAAATGAAATAATTGTTTCATTTGAAAAAATATTTATATTTGCTTTTTAATTAAAAATATTTATATTTGCGTTTTAATTAAAAAATTCCATGTTCATTATTAACTTCTCATAGGGTAAGTGATGGGTAAGTTATAGTAATGGTCTAAAAATCAATATCCAAAATTTTCTTTTAAATCTCAAAAATGATTTAGATTTTATTTTTTATGTTGGCTAAAATTCTAAAGCTAACTTCAAATAATTAATTTTAATCCTTTTGACTCGGATGCCGCCGCTCCGGCGGCAAAATTCATATAAATCTCGGAATTCGCGAGTGGAACGTGTTAACTTTGCAATTCAGTTTATAAATTTCTTATCAATTTAAAACATTCAATACTTCTCCACTCAATACCGTAATGAAATAATTTAGAAGTAGTACAGACAATTTCAGAAAATAATGATTTTCTATGCACGATACCATGCGACACTAGTTAAAATATGATTTTGACTAAACAAACAAATTTTAAGAAGGTTTAAATATAATTTTAAAAATAAACGAAAACGAAAAATTTATAAATTACATAAAATTTAAATTATTAAGCGGTGGGAATTAGTATGTCATTATTCCATGCCTCGTAAAGTAGCATTCAATTAATTTTACACGAAATTTTGTTTTTTTCTAATACCTTCAATTTTAGGTACTTATAATTTGTGCAGTTGGCTTAATAAAAGTTAATTAAAATGAATAATTAATAAATTGAAATTTTAAAGAGCCGGAAGAGTCTCAATTTCATTTATACCAATCTATACCACGGCAATCACATGAGTCATCTATGGGTGTGGATTGACGCTCAACTAGTGTACTGAAGGATGATTTATTTTCACTTTTAAGTTTACTAACATGGCGTCTTTGTGTACACAGTGGCTTGTTTTAGCTTTTATTGTTATTTTAATTAGTTTAAGTGAGTTAATTACAAAATATTTAATATAGTTAAAGTTCAATAATTATATGTTAAGTTAAAATATTACTTTTTGCTGTTTGCATAAATAAACACATCTATTTTTTATGTTAATGCCGTCGTGTCATGGCGACGTTCGAAAATTTTAATTGACGAGTTTAATTACTCTAAATATCAAATGCTTTATTAAACAAAATATACATTTAATTTGTGTGATACTTTTAGCTAATGGACAACGCACGCCAACAATTTCATACATATCTCAAGAACAAATTAAAGATATTGGAGGAACCGTAGAATTACAATGCTCAGTGCAGTATGCCAAGGAATATCCAGTTTTATGGGTAAAATATATTATGAAATTTAAAAAATATCAATGAGTAAGTGCATAATGATTGTCCTTTTTTGTAGATCAAAAACGATCGTGGAGGTTCTACAATACTTTTGCCTTTGTCAACTGGCAGTACTTTGATTATAAAAGACTCAAGGTTTTCCTTAAGATTTGATGATGCCAGTTCTACATATATTCTACAGGTAGTAAATGCTTTCTTTAAAAAATTATAATTGAAAAAACTTGAAATCTTTATTGAAATATAATTTGTTTTTATTTAAATTTAAAACTCAAATTTAATATTTGTATATATATATATATATATATATATATATATATATTTATGTGAATGGTTTATCAGTTTTCATCTTCTTCCTCTTCTTCACCCTCCAGTTCTGCATATTCATTGACTTGGACGTCTTCTTTTTCATCAACTTTTCCATCATCTGTTTGAATTTGCTCTTGGTCAATTTGTGTTTCTAGGTTATAAATATTGCTTTCTTCACTTCCTTCTTCAGATGGTACTATTTCTTCAAATTCTTCCTCATCTACTAAAGTTGTTGGGTAGCTAACTTGTTCATCTCCAACATACTCTTCATATACTGATTCTTCAGCCAGTTCTTCAGCTTCTCGTTCAGCGACATATTGTCTGAAATTTCTTTGTATAAGGGTAGCAGCTGCATTGAGTTCAGGATCACTTACTGATATTTTGAATACGGGTTCTTTTTTTTCTTCTTCCTCTTCTTCTCCTTCTTCTTTATATGAAGAAGGTACACGAATCCACTCTCTGAATTTTTGTTGAATTAATTCAGCAGCATCCTCAACTTCATCAACATTTTCGTCTACCCATTGTTTAAATTCAGCTTCTTCTTTTTCCTTTCTCTTCTGTTCTTCCTCTTTCCTCCTTATCTCTGCTATATTCTTCCTGTGGTAATAACCTCTATACAATGCTTGTATTAGAGTGGCCGCCTGTTGTTTCTGGGTTTCTGTTGGTTTAGTCTTTGCATATAATTCCATTGTATGCCTTGCCGCTTTTTGCCAATTAACACCTGTTTCTTTACATATTTTATCTTCAAGCATCTGTCTTTCCATGTATTCTCTAAATGCAGATTGTATTACAACTGCAGCTTTGACAGCCTCGGCCGGTTTTACTTTTGTCATTTGTATAATTCTTTGAAGAATTTCAAATTCTTTCAACTTTTCTTGTGAACCTTTTTGTCTAGCATCAGTATGCTCCTTAAAGGCTATTTGGACAACACGAGCTGCATCTTCAGCTTGTTCTCTGGTCATTCCTGTTCGCATAAGCAATTCTCCAATAGTGGCACTCGCATCTGCCAAGCTAGTAACTACACGGGCAGCTATTCGAGCATGTTCTCTAGTTATTAAAAGTGCTTCTAGATAATCAGCAATAAAACTATAAACTTCTATTGGTTCAGATTTCAGAACCTCTCTCGTTATATCCATCATAAGCTCTCTTAGCCCGTCAGGTATTGAACAAACATATTTCGAACCCTGTATCTGCAGCATATAATCCATAATTGTTGTTTGTGTAAACTATTTATACAAATATAAGAAAAATATGATTTGCCAGGAATTTTAATATTTGATTCACATATTTATTTTAAACTTTACAAACAATTGATACACAGTTATATGTCTATATAGATATAATTTTTAAATTTCATCTTTTTTTTTATTACTCTAGGTTTTTATAACTACTTTGATATAACTATAATTTTACAGTTATTATATTAGTTTTAAATTTGTGCATTTTCTTCTATCTTCTATTTAAAAATCATTATGAATATAATATTTTCTAACATATTCAATTTTTATTTCTCAATAGCTACAATTTTATTTTTATTTACTTTTAACTGCATTAACATTATTCTATTGTGTCCAAAGATTAAAGATCTGCAAGAAACTGATGCTGGTATTTATCAATGTCAAGTACTTATATCTGCTACAAATTCAATTAATGCAGAAGTAGATTTGCAAGTAAGAAGACCTCCTATTATCAGTGACAATACCACAAGAAACTTTGTAAGTATTTTTTTGATTATTATTTATGGTATATATATATGGTAGATATTTTTGTATGGTATATATTTATTTATTCATATATATTTATAATCATGTCATGCTTAGGTTGTCTCCGAAGGACAAATGGTACAAATGGAATGTTATGCTGGAGGTTATCCTTTACCCAGAGTATCATGGAGAAGAGAAAATAATGCTATATTGCCTTCTGGTGGAAGTATATACAGGTACACTAAATTTATTTATTCTTTAGAAACAACTATTTGAGTGTTGATATTCAATTTGATTATAATCCTTCAAAATCTTTCAAAGCAAATTAATTCTATTCTATAATTTTTTAGGGGTAATATGTTGAAAATTAATGCAGTTCATAAAGAAGATCGAGGTACATATTATTGTGTAGCCGAAAATGGTGTAGGAAAAGGTGCTAGGAGAAATATTAATTTAGAAGTAGAATTTACACCTGTCATCACCGTGCCTAGACCACGTTTGGGGCAAGCCTTGCAATATGATATGGATCTTGAATGCCACGTTGAGGCTTATCCACCACCAGCTGTTGTTTGGGTTAAAGATGATGTGCAATTGTCTAACAATCAACATTATAGGTAGATATAAGTAGCTAACTAATTTATCTGAAAGACTATTTATGTTTTCAAATTTTTTAAATAATCCAAATTATTTTCAAACATAATTTTTTTAATTGTTAGTGTATATAACATAATCTGTAATATTGTATTTAATTAAGATGACTTGAGAAATAATTGTATACATTATTTTAGCATATCTCAGTTTGCAACTGCTGATGAATTCATCGACACTACACTTCGTGTAATCACTATTGAGAAGAGGCAATATGGTGATTATGTTTGCAAAGCAACAAATAAACTTGGAGCAGCTGAAGGCAGGGTACATCTGTTCGGTAAGAATAGGAATATTTACTTATATTGTTTTATAATAGCTCATGATTTGCTACATATCTGCATGGGCATGCTTTTAAAAACCTACTAAAAGCTTAAAATGCAGAATTAATATTTAGCTTGTAATTTATCAGTTTGTGATAGACATTTAGGAAATGAGAGTTAGAGGATAGCATTAGAATATCATTTGCATGACATTTTTTTCTAATACATAATTATAAATTATAAGAAATTGCTTGTGATATTTTATTGTACTTAGCTGTTTTGAACGCATGTGATTTCGATAATATAATACTTTGAACTGAAAGCTCTATTGATATTGTTTAGAAGAAACATAAGAAAACTTTTTCAATAAAGATTACTATTCTATTAAAAAATAAATAACCATATTTTTGATTAATTTGCTTTTTGTATCTTTTTGCTCCTATGTTAATTCTAATATTTGATTGATTTTTTTATTTTATCTTTTATCTTTGTTTCTGTATTACAAAACACTTTGAATTTAAGTAAGATATTTCATTTTGTATTTTCACATGTTGCTACTAACTACTAAATTGGTTTTGGTTATATTTTATCTTGTTTTTTATATATATTTTTATTTTTTATATTTAAAATATTTCCACAGAATCTATTATTCCTGTATGTCCTCCTGCATGTGGAATTGCGCATTATGGCGGGGCAACAAATGTTGCTGCTCCTGGATTAATGTTTACTGTTATCGTTGCCTTTATCACAAGTGTAATAATAAGGTAAGTTTGTTATGTAACGAGATTTCAAAAGTGAAATTCTTTTAAATGTAAATTGTTTTTCAGTAAATATAGATTTTTAAATTATAAATTAAAATTACTTATGTGAGTTATGTTATAGCTAGTCCATTTACTACTATAGAGTAAAAACTTATTGCAACCCATTATAACCATTTATAATTCGTAGTAGTAACATTTTAACGTAGTAACATCTAAAATAATCATATGATGAATTATATTAATTTCTTTTTAGAAATATCACATCCAAATATTAATTATCCAGGACTTAGATGGGACCATTTCTCAACTGCTAGTGTGCCTATACTGCCCAATAAATTTTGGCTATATTCTTTTACAATACTGGTAATCTGCACACTCAATTTGTGTAATTGAAATCTTTTAATGGCCTACTTGAAAAGTTTTTATACCGTTGTGTTGAACCATGTTGTTTCCTGACTATTGAATAAGCGTAAGATTAATATTGCAAATGATTTTTTGAACACATGTGTCACACGTATTTAGGTTTGTGATTTCATTATATAATTTTGCAGCTTTTTAGATATAATCTTACTTGCATATTCGAAATTTGAAATTTTTCAAGCTGCTTTTTATGGATTTTAAAATTTAATTTTAGACTATTGTATTTATTAATATTTTTCATTCCATGTGTAGTATATGGCATTATGGAGATATTTATTTAAATTATGACCAAATTTGTTATTCAGCTAATTAATTTATTTTTTCTTGTTTGCGTTATTTTGAGGAAATGATACTAGATGAAAATATTTACATAAGAAAAATTTACTCATAATGAAAAAAGAAAACTCGAATTTTGTATAAAGTGAATTTATATCTAGAACTATTTTTAATATTTAAAGGTCTAGTATGTAACAAAAATGCACTTTTTGTATATGCTTCCAAAGTAAATTCAAAGAATGTGCATTTCAAATTCTTGACTACTTAAGCAATATTTTGCACTAGGTTTAAATTTTAAACTAATATAGTAATAAGTTTTATAACTATGTGTATTGTACATTGCAACAAATAATTTTAGTATTTATGTGTATATTATGGTTTGACTATTTAAGTGTATTTTAAATATGCACTTGTTAACAGTATTGTTTTGAAGGTAGATTTAAAAAACTCGACTGCTATTTTAAAAACAGCTACAAATAAGAGCAAAGATTTCATTGTCATTTTGCAATACTGATTATTAAGGGTTTGTACTTGTTTGTGTCCTTTATACAGTCTAGTTATTTAAATCTATAATTTTTCTTAATTGATATTATTCGATTCCATCCATACTTATATTATTAATAGATATTATTCTGTATGTACATGTTGTATTATTTATTTTTTCAACATTTAATAAAAATCCAACAAACATTTGATTTGTTTTTGTTCGCTGTGTTATTTTGTATTGCCCTCTTTTCGCATTTTTATGTTGGTATCGTTGCGCTTCAAAGCTGAAACTAAAAAAATTATTTACATTTTGATATATACAAAATGGCGACAGTTTCAGAATTTCTTGTGTTGCGTAGTGGTTAAAATTTTAATTGTTATCTAATAATGACAAATGTGTAATGTTACAATATAATGGTGAAAAGGATATATTACGTACACGAATAGGTAAGTTTTATAGTAATTATTAATATAATTATTTGACAAGCGTATGTGCAAATAGTTGTGTGAGAATTATTTTCAGATGTCATTCTTTATTAAAATGAATGACAAGTAGTGCAACAATAATAAATTGTTAGTTGTACCTAAAATATATATCAGTTGTTCAATATATAATTGTAATAAATACTGTTAAACAAGTTTTTCTTAACGGGGTTTTGACATATTTAAACAGTAACTATTCTATTTGCTGCACGTATGCAAGTTACGTGCGTCCTCATTTCATTTATCTTGGTGAACTCTAAAGACAAGATATTTGAATTTTTAACACAAAATTCTGTCATGTAAAATAGGTGCAATTTATTTTACTAGGCAACTAAATTTCCAATGTAATAGATTTGTGTTAGATCGAATCATAGCCCTTTCGCCAAACCAAACAACTACCTATACAATATTTCATGCCAGTATTTTTTTATTTTATTTATTAATGTGTAGGATTTATTTAAAAATGAATCGATATTCTGCGTAGACTTCATTCAATTTGGATTAATTATACAACACTAAATATGATTTATATACTACTCTTGCATGACCTCACTTACTGTGAGTCAATAAGTGGATATTGGGAATTTATCGAAATTTATGTTGATATAGTTAATGTTAATAATAATGTTCTGCGAAAAAATATAAATCCATAACTACCTAAACATTTATTGGGATTTTTTTCTATTTAAATCCTTTTTAAATGAAGACACACTAATACTAACGCCCCCAAAGAAGAAATTTTGAATATTCCCTAATTGCATGTTTCTAGATTTTTTAATCCATTTTGTCATTTTGTCTTACAAAATAAAAGTGTATAGAAAAGTATGTGTATATTTGTATATGAATAAACATTTTGTTTTTCATTTGAGTTTTCATGAAAGATGTAAAAACTCATTTTTAAAACTTAATAACTTTCATTCTCATTTTATAATACTTAATAACGAGCTTGTAATTAACAGCTAGATCATACAGATTTTGCCGAACCATTTCTTTATTAAATATTTAATTTAATTATCTTTAAATATTTGGAATGACTAAATTTATATAAAGCCAAGAGTCGAAGTCACATTAATTAAATTTGTGTAAATATTGACTTTTGAAATAACAAACGGTATTATAATTACTTATATATTCATACCAGTTAAAATATCTGTTTTTGTAATAAAAAGCCGCACCATGTATGATGGTAATATATGATTATTATTAAATTTCAAGATTTAAAATTTTCTGTTCTATATGCCTACAAATTTAAGTCATTTAAAAGACGAAAGAAAAATGAAATTGAATATCAATTTTAATGGGATAAAATATGTAATTTTCTGAAGAATTTTGATTTTTACCTAAAAAATCGCGTTGATTAATTTTGTTTATAATATTGAACCGTACATTTTTTAGTCACGGTTTCAAAAACTTTGAAAACGAATTTTCAATATTTAAAAACAGTTTGAAAGGTAAAATTTCTTTATATAAATACAAGTACAATATGCGAATATTATACGTATTACTTTACAAGTTTTTAGTTGGCATAGCAGTTAACATCATAAATTAAATACGAGAAAATAGTAAAATTTTGTTCGAAAATTTTTAGTTGGCAATGTCGTTATTTACTTTTGCTTATATCGATCGAATAGTCTTTTTGTAATTCGTAATTTAATTCGCCTTGATGTAGATTTGTTTATTTCGTTATTTCTGTGATAATATTCAATAAACCTTTTTTTAAACTTTTTTTAAATTGTTAACCACTTGATATATTTCAATTTCTGTAGATCTCGGAAGATCTCAGATCTCTTTAGTATTGGTCTGAAAGGACTTGAACATGTTTACCACTATTCTTTATTAGAATGAATTCATACATATTGGTATGAATATTATTTTTCAATAAAATAAAAAAAATGGGATTTTAAAATTATATTCCAATTGCCAGGAAATTATAATTCTTCATGGTATTTAAATTGCAAATTAAATTTTCACTGATAATTATTTAGAAAATAAACTATTCATACATATTGGTATGAATATTATTTTTCAATAAAATAAAAAAATGGGATTTTAAAATTATATTCCAATTGTCAGGAAATTATAATTCTTTTGAAAATAAACTATTTTATGAAAATTGCTCTTTATTAAACCCCATTGACTCCTGACCTAAATGTGAATGTTCCATGTTCTTTTTCGCAATGGATGCTCAGTTTCAGTAGGTCACTAGCCCGAAAGTCTCGCCCGACAGACGCCCTTACGTAATTTTTATTGATAATATTAAATATATTCTTTCTATTTTGTATTATTACTACACTATAGAATTTGACTACTTTATTACTACTGTTTACAACAAAATTATTGTTACAATTACAAAACTATTGTTACGATTGAAGTAGATACTGCATATAATATTATATTGAGTTTAGTGTTATATTAACAGATACTAATAGTCGGGCATAATTATAGATACAAGAATAATTGAACATATCATTTTTTTTAAATTTATAGAGTAACTAGCAACCCCGACGAACTCCGTTTCGCCACCAGATGGTTTCGTGAGAAAGATAAAGAAATTTTTTGTTTGTTTTATATTTGTAAAGGAAAAATTTGATTTTATTATACAACAGTAATGAATTTATTTCGATTACAAAAATGAAGTGTTTTTCAATTGAACTTCTCTAATTAAATGAAAGTGAATCCGCAAATTATCCGTTTCATTGAAGTGCTCTTTGGTAAACCACATTTTTTGTTTTTTGGTCTGACGTAAACACAAACAAAGCGGATGGTTTTCCAACTCGTGAACAGGCAACGTATAACTGCCCATGTGATAAACAATGATTTTCTAAATAATCTATTTGAAATTTATCCCGCAAACACTAAGCGATTGGTCTTGCGACTTGTTATTGCGAACGCAAGGCGAACTGGAAATTGCAATCGTTTGAAGTCAAACGGAAGACCAGTCGGAATCATTGGTATGTCACCAAATCGCCAGCAACTTTTGATTGAATGGTGAAATTCAGTGCGTGTACATCATTATTCTTTGCGGCAAGAATTGCTCGTTGACTTAACCAAGCATAATTCTGATAGTTCTCACTAATGTCATTACTCGAATTTTTAATTACGGTGCGTGAAGTTCCAGCAGCTTGCATTAAGGCACGATGCCATGCGCAACTAATTTTCTTAGCTATAAACCTTGCGGAGCCCGAGACCTTTCCAACGAATGCAAAATTGTCGAAATCGATTCGTGCGTTCTGGAGTTATTTTGTCAGGAAGGAAAACCCAACCTATTTTTATATATATAGAAGATTTGTTTTGAAGGGTTTGAGAGTTAGAATTAAAGATGAATAACATGAATAATAGTCGATTATCATTATTTCCCATGGCTAACAACACTGCCGATATATTTCTCATGAAATTATTAGATGAGAATGACTTTATATTTAATATCTCATATAGAACTTATGCATATGTCAGATTTGTCAGATTTTAACAAAATAATAGTATATATTCTTCGTCATGTTATATTTAATATTTGATAGTAAATTTTGTACTCGCTTCTGTATACTTTGCCATATTATATAGTATTTAAGTATAAATTTATTAAAAATGACCTTGAATTTTAGTTCTATTTCGTCCTACGCGTAGAACTACATAGATCGAATCGTAGCGCAGGGCTTCCAGCATCTCTCATGGGCGCAGAGCTACGGAGATGCGATTTCATGCGCATCTCCACATCTCTTTCTACCTTCATATTTATTCTATATTATTTCTCTTTTCTTTCATTTATACCCCTAAACATTCGAAATTCGCGGCAAGTGGAGTCGCCATTTTGGGGAGTTCACGCACAATCCTGATAAAAAGTCTGATCTCGAACAATTGTGATTAATTAAACAATTTAGTGATTCAGTGTTGATTTAATAAGATAAATTTGGTTTAAGTGAATAAAGAAAAAAATCACCTAAATTTGTGACAAAAAATAGTGATAAATGTGATATAAGTAAAATACGTAGTGGCCTCGGTTCGTGAATGATGATATACATGTGTATGACTTTTTATCTGTCATATTACTTTATGGTTTAAAATTAAAGAATCACTTTTCAAATGTGCACACCGAAAGTATAAAACGTTTAACCTTATTATTTAAAAAATGCAATATAATACATAATTTATTATTTTTGTTCGTTATGTTTTCATAATTGATACTATTACAAACATTTCATTTTGTGATATTATTTATTTACCTACTTATAACAATCATATTTAGTATCTGAAATATATTGATTCATAGCTTAGTAGTTGTGAATTATAGACCGCCAATAATTTCTTTCAAACGATTAAATAAGCTTTCAAAAATCAGCATAACTAACTAAATCATCGTATTTTTGTTAATACATATTATAATTATTACATTTATCTTTCATAGTTTGGACAGTAAAATATATATAAAATAAAGCTTCCAAGATACACTTAAAAATTACATCAGATCAATTCCTAAGGGTCTAATAAAATAAACCTTTCGTGGATGAGGAATATAACTGATTATCCAGCCATTCCAAGCCTTCATACAACCCAGTTCCCAAAGAAACGCTACAAGCTTGAATTCTTAAAGCTCGCTCATTTTCGTTATATGGTGGCAGCGCAGAACGAATTTGATTCTCACTTAAAGCTCCTATTCGATCCTGTATAACATACAAATGTAATTGAAATCAATAAGTTAGTATATAATAACGTAAAATATGTCGCTGTTACTATAGTTTACTTGCTTTGGTGACAGACTTCAAAAATATCTAACCTCTCAAACAATTATAGATTACATTAGCTTTTTGCATAAATAAGGATACGTTCTTGAATTGAAATTATAACATTTTTTTTATTTATTGTTTCAACAGCAATCAGAACTCCTATTTTATATGTTCTATAAGCTGTTTTCTTCAAGACTCATGACCTAAGGTATTATTATGAGAGGCAACCCATCGGTTCACCAT